CTTGGCAGTCTTCCCCACAGCAGGTACTCTTGTTTGGGAAGGAGAGTCACCGCCTGAGTTAGCTTCACTGTCCCTACTTTTCCTGGGACATCTTCACCCGTCCATCTTGTGAGACTGGTCATCATTTCTAGAAACTGTTCGCCATCTGGAGACCCTTTTGTGTTGCTCGAGATAAGTGTCCAATAACTGTTCTCGTTTTTCAGCTGATGCAGTACGTTTCAACATGTTGGTGCCTACTATTATGTCGTCTTTCTGACCAGTGATCACCAGAACTGGGACCATGCACTTTACCCCATACAGACTTAGTTCCATGTCATACATGCACTTGGGGCGCACTTGTACTCCTCCACAGCCAACAAGGATGATATGCTGTGAGAGTTCTTGATGTGGGGTCAAGACGCTATCCGATAGTAGTCTTTGCTCTGCCTCTTCACTTATCGTGCAGGCCATTGAGCCTGTATCGAGGAGCCCTTGCAACTGAGCACAGCCATTAACTGTCACCGGTGCGTGAAATAACTCACTGAACGTCTCAACTCTGTGAATATTCTGAACAATTACCGTGCAATTATCAGACATTGCTTTACAGACATTGACATACATCTCCTTCAATTCTTCACTTTCTTCAAAGGTTGAATCTTCAACGCTCACACATCCCCTTTCCGTATGTGAGCTATCTAGTTTAAACTGGCTCCACCTTGCTCAGAGTTAGGTGGTGTGTGCGCTAACTGTGGCTGAGAGTTAATTCTTGGCCGGCGCTGTTGGCATTCTCTCTTCCAGTGGCCGGGCTTGTAACAGCCCATACAGAGGTTCGCCTGTCTACAGTGTGCAGTAGTTGAATGTTCGGCAGACTGACAGACTTTACATCTACTCTGAACAATGGCTGCTGGCCCCCTGCTTGGTGGCACGACTGCTGTTGTGTGTGCCGTCTGCTCTAGCACACGGTTCAGCAAGCCAATGAGAGACTGCATGCAGATGCTCTCTGTCTGAGGAGAGGATGGAAGCCCCATTGCCTTTGGGTAACCAGTAAGGTCTGTTGGGTTTTCAGCAGCGACTGTCTCTGTGGTTAATGCCTGAGCATGTGCACCAATGTTCTTTGGCCGATAAGATTTGGCTTGACACATTGTTCTAGCCTCTCTCTGATGTTCAACGAGGTGTTCCTGAATCTCATTTGCTGTCCACTTTTCAGCTGTTTTGCACTTTAGGACACTTGCAAGAGCGGGGTCGGGACAGTGTTTCACCAGCATCATTGTGACTTCGTGAGAGGGGTCCTCAATGTTTCGCCCCTGCCTTCTCAGACACTCATCTGCGACATCCACAGCCTTGTTCAAGCATATCCAATAGTCCATGGGACTTTCTCCGGCCAGAGGAAGTGTGTTATAGAAATCTGCTAAAGGCATAGAGGAGTAGGTTAACTCACTGAAATGTTGTTTCAGAATATCAAAGACGAGCTTGGAGTACTCAGCTGGCTGCAGCGATGGCATACTGCGCAGGGTAACTTTAACAATGTCTCTAGCCTTTCCCATTAGTCTTGACATTATCTCCTGGGAGTGCTCTTGCGGGTGTACACCCCTCTTATTCAGGTAAACGCTCATAATCTCTTCCCACTCATGCACTGTGTGTTTGTCTGTTCCATCACCCCTGAAGTACGGCGGCTCTTTGACATCTGTCTTCATGACTAACTTTACTCCTGTCATGTTCAAATCAGACTGTCCAAATCCTAAGTTCAGGCTAGGCGTAGGAGTGGTTTGGTTATCTGCACTACCAACAGATCTCTGTAATTGGCTGGCAATGTTCTCTCCTATTTCATGAGCTAACTGTGTGATGAGACTCCCTAGGTCTGCAGAACTCACATGTGAACTAGACACTGGCTGACGTGGAGAATGTTCATCTGTTTGGGTGTGAGTGTATGAAAATGCAGGACGGCCCACTGAACTAACGCTGCTTGCAATGTCTGGAGCATCTCTTAAGCTACGCATGTGTGGTGCGGGGGAATATTCATCAGTGCGTAAGCGTGTGGACGAGAGTACAGGTCTGCCTAGTATACCAGCACCCCTAACCGGCGTGCTCTCCACCCTACTCATAAACCTGCCCCTCCCCAGGCTTACCCCTGCAGCATCTCCAACACTAAATGGTGTCTGCGCATCCTAACCATCAGTCTTTTTTTTTTATTTTTTTTATAGAAAGTTGTAATAGACTATGGTAATGATATGTGAATCACCAGAACATGTGAATATGAAAAAAAAATTGTAAAATGATAGAAGTAGCTGAGGTAAGCAATTAAGAGCTACAATTTACACATTAATGTTTGCCCTTATACTTGTCAACGTTCCGAAGAGGTTCCTACTCGTCACAGCAACCTCCGGCGATCACCCTGGCGATGATCTGAAGCGAAGATATCCGGGTCACGGCACCAATGTAGCCGGCGCGGTCTGCTCGTTGCCGACTACTGCGTTGTGTTCCGGTGCACTGAAGACAAGACACTGGCGTACTTGAAGGCACTTTATTGTGTACAACTCTCTCAATCTGTTCAACATCAAGGAGAGAAAATGTTCAAAACTCTACCCTCGACCAGAATCCGCCTCTCTCAGTCGAGTACAATGCAGACTCAGTATAATCACATTCAAAAATCCAAGGAATAAAATACAACATAATTGGAAAATAAACATCGCATCTGGTGTATATCTTATGTATGTGTCATATTGCATGTTATCTCTGCCAAAAACTCTGAGCTTTTAGCCTTTACATTAATACTGTGCAACATGACATAAACCATCTTTCAAATAGGTAATACATACAGTAATATGCACGAAGCAACATGTAATCCTTCACATTTGAGCTTTTCAGTGCCATTAAACACTAATCAATACATGAAAACATTTTAAATGAACACATATTTTTAACCTGATATAGGGAATACATACCTGTTCAACATCAAGGAGAGAAAATGTTCAAAACTCTACCCTCGACCAGAATCCGCCTAACATAAAAAGAACAACGTGGGCTTCAACACAAGAGGATAGAATGACGATCGCTAACTTACAGCTAAACAAAACACGAGGTTAGCTAAGTTAGCAATTTCTCAAACTCTCAAAAACAGCTAAATTCACGACACAGCTTGATTAAATGTACGTACACTCATCATATAATATACATACAAGTTACTATGTGCACTGAAACGTTTTAGTTTTAACAGGTATATCAAGTTTATATCACGCCGAAGTGAACACATACCTCTCTCAGTCGAGTACAATGCAGACTGAGAAAAGCATGACATCCCTCCGCATATAACCAAACCAACAGTCTAGAGGGCGCAATTACACAACTAACTCTCCCAATATCTGTAAACTACACGAAATGCTGAACAATACAATATTTTGGTGAAATCAACTCACAAAATAAAATAAAAAATAGAAAATGAACGGTTGCAAAAATCTGTAATTCTTTGACCTGTTACACACAGCCCACATGGGATTATAAGACTGTTTGCTGTAGCCAAACAAAAACATGTTTTACCTAGGTTTTAATTAATATAATATTTCCCTCCCCTAAAAACTGTTGATTGATTGGTTTAGCCTACTGCTGTATATAATTACTGATTGAAAATCATAAGCTATCATTGATAGCAAAATAATTTGTATAGCAAAGCTTACATTTTAGAACAGAGGATAGATCACCATGATCATGTATAGTAACATTTTCTTTAGATTTCGTGTCAAATGACGTATTAGGCTATTGAGATCTGCTGAGATACAGGCTTTATTGTTGGCGAAGCTATAATCCATAGGCCATAGCAGGAAAGGTTATACATGCAGTATTCTATTTACCACTCTAAACTCAAGGACGGAGATGCAAGATGGTCAAGATGGTACAGTCAAGCCATTCTGTCTGGTGCTGATGGGACCCAACATTATGAGAAAAACATTTTCAACAACGTCTAACAGATGGCAGGAGATATATTTTTTCAAATATAGATGGTCTGAGTTTCAGAAAGCTGAAAAACAAAATACCATTGGAAAAAGTCACGTGTCAAGGAAAGTGTCAACAGTAGAAAATAAATAGTTTATTTCAGAACATTTGATAGACAAGTTACACAAGCCGTAATTCTAGAAATCTAAAAATGTAAAATGTTGGTCCAATGAAAACAACCCTAAGCCTCAAAGCACACACACACCATCTTTAGGGAAGTCGTAAGGCTTCCCAACCCACAGCAACACACTCCCCCCGTCTCCCCCCGTCTCCCCCTGTCAGTTCCCTCCTGTCTCCCCCCGTCTCCCCCTGTCAGTTCCCTACTCACACACTCTAATTTGCTCATCTCAGGGAGTCATTGCAGGGCAGAGGGTTTACATCATTTAAACACATGGTACTACACACACAAAATTCAGTCTATTGCTGTGAGCTGAGGTTTGCAGCAACAGTGGAACACACGGTATCAGATTTATACAATAACACACAACACACCCTGTTAAAGCCAATAGATGAAGCAGATATACTGCACAATGCATACTGTACAGACATCAGGAGGAGTGGTCTCTCTCTGCTGCTCTCCCAAAGACATCCGAAATACAACATCATTACCCTTCCTCTCTACACCCCTATGTCCCTGTAAATGATTCATCAGCATCATCCTCTTCCAAAATGTCCTTGGGTGGCCTGGCTTCATTCCTCTTCGCCACACAACGACACCCATGGGACGGCTATCAGAGAAGTTCAGGTTGATCAAGTCTGATCTTCAGCATCATGGTCCAGTTCCCTGTTGCGGTCTGGTGAGTAATAGTGTCTTAGTCACGTCAGTGAGGTTGGTCCTGTTGTGGTTAGTAGCTCCATTGTGGTTGGTCCTGTTGTGGTTAGTAGCTCCATTGTGGTTGGTCCTGTTGTGGTCAGTAGCTCCATTGTGGTTGGTCCTGTTGTGGTTAGTAGCTCCATTGTGGTTGGTCCTGTTGTGGTCAGTAGCTCCATTGTGGTTGGTCCTGTTGTGGTTAGTAGCTCCATTGTGGTTGGTCCTGTTGTGGTCAGTAGCTCCATTGTGGTTGGTCCTGTTGTGGTTAGTAGCTCCATTGTGGTTGGTCCTGTTGTGGTCAGTAGCTCCATTGTGGTTGGTCGGGGCGTAGCGAGGTCTGCAGGGACCTCATGTCCCTGAGCAGTGTTAGACTTTTCCTGCTGCGGTCCCCCGGTCGAACTTTGACCGCTCCGGCAGAGCGACTGCGTGTGGTCACTGTGGTGGTCACCTTCACCTCTCCTCCTCCACCTTGCTTCTGACCACGAGCCTCCCTCATAAACCTCTTCACCTACACAGAGACAGAGAAAGTGAGAAACAGTGAAAAACTCCTTAGTCAAATTTGTGTGTTTGTGGATATGTTGGAGGCAAAACCAGTTAAATAGTGCTTTGTCATCAAACTGTATGTGTGTGTGTGTGTATGTGTGTGTGTGTGTGTGTGTGTGTGTACCTGTGCTTGGTGTCTGCGTAGTTTGCTGATCTGCTCTACTTTTCTCTCCATCCTCCTGAGTAGAGTCTCCTGTTCTCTCTCCACCCCCCTCCTCTCCCGCTCACACACACACGCCTCAGCCTGCCGCACCAGCTCCTGCTGCTCACTGAAACACACACACACACACATTTACATACACAACTGAGATAGCTATTCATGCTGAAACAAAGTCTCAGACTCTCTCTAACAGACTGACACACTCACAGGCTCATGTGTCCCAGTTCATCCTGCAGGGCCAGCAGGAGGTCTGATAGCTCCTCCCCACAGGAAGAGGAGGAGACACTGTCAGAGTGGGTGCCATTGGCTGGCTGGGCCAGAGGGGTGTGAGAGAGGACACGTGAGTTACATAGCTGGGGCTGATGCTGCTTCAGCAGGGAGAGAACAGACTGGACGTTGGCCCTGACCGAGTGACTGCACCCTACAGACTAGAGAGAGACAGAGAGAGGGAGATGACCGAGTGACTGCACCCTACAGACTAGAGAGAGACAGAGAGAGGGAGATGACCGAGTGACTGCACCCTACAGACTAGAGAGAGACAGAGAGAGGGAGATGAGGAGGGTGACTGCACCCTACAGACTAGAGAGAGACAGAGAGAGGGAGATGAGGAGGGTGACTGCACCCTACAGACTAGAGAGAGACAGAGAGAGGGAGATGACCGAGTGACTGCACCCTACAGACTAGAGAGAGACAGAGAGAGGGAGATGACCGAGTGACTGCACCCTACAGACTAGAGAGAGACAGAGAGAGGGAGATGAGGAGGGTGACTGCACCCTACAGACTAGAGAGAGACAGAGAGAGGGAGATGAGGAGGGTGACTGCACCCTACAGACTAGAGAGAGACAGAGAGAGGGAGATGAGGAGGGTGACTGCACCCTACAGACTAGAGAGAGACAGAGAGAGGGAGATGAGGAGGGTGACTGCACCCTACAGACTAGAGAGAGACAGAGAGAGGGAGATGAGGAGGGTGTCTGCATATTGTGTGTGTGTGTTCATACCTTCCCTGCTACAAATGGCACGTCTCCCAGGCTCAGTCTGTAGTGCGGCTGCGTGTGTGAGGCCTGCCGCAGAGCACACACACATTCAGATCAGATATTGGTATGGGTCAAAGGCTCGTTGGCCAATCAGATATGTGGCCTGAACAATTAGTTTAGTGTGTGTGTGTTTGGGTGAGGAGGATCACATCGAATGTCATTAATCTCCAGTAGAAACACCGGCACCTAAAGGCTCATGGGAAGGCTGCTACCTTGGAGACCTGTTTCTTCTCTCTGATTGTACTTCTGGCTTTGGGAAGGCGGGGCGAGGGCGACACAGACTGGATCAGGATACGATTGGCCTCCAGACCTGTCTGTAACTGAGGACAGGTGAGAAAGCAGGGTGCAAAATAGTTGCAATACACATCTCCAGAGAGTGTGAGTGTGTGTGTGTGTCTACCTGGTTGGCCTGGTCCTGGACCAGTTTCCTCTGGTGTTCTTCTTCCAGCAGTTTCAGCTCCAACTCACGAATCTTCCTCTAAAAACACACACATACAGACGTCAGAGCCACCAAATCCTAGTCGGGGGGGAAAATGTGTTTGTGTGTGTACCTCTGCGTGGTTCTGTGTGCGGGTCAGTCTCTGGTATTCCTGCTCCAGTAGATCCAGCTTATCTAACTGGGCCTGGTGGGCGGAGTCAGGGGCGGGAGCAGCTGACCTGGTCATCTCAAGGGAAACCTGAAAGGGTCACTATGGTAACTGAGTGCTACCGGAGCATCATACATACAGTTAGGGATCTTAACTCGGCTAACCAACGCTAACTACCTGTCGTTAGCCTGTCTCCCTGGGTTAGCATAGATAATGCTAGGTAAGGCTAGCTGAGGCGTATGCTAACCTGACGTTTGAGCAGGGTTGTTCTGTCGGCCTCTGCGTTGCGGACCATCTTCCTCATGTACTCCAGCTGTCTGTCCAACAGCTTACAGCGAGACTCCGCCGCAGCCAGCTGAGTCACCAACACTGAGGGGACCGAGGGGGAGACAGAGAGAGAGACAGAGAGAGCGTGAGACAGAGACAGAGAGCGCGAGACAGAGACAGAGAGAGAGCGCGAGACAGAGACAGAGAGAGAGCGCGAGACAGAGAGAGAGCGCGAGACAGAGAGAGAGCGCGAGACAGAGAGAGAGCGCGAGACAGAGAGAGAGCGCGAGACAGAGAGAGAGCGCGAGACAGAGAGAGAGCGCGAGACAGAGAGAGAGCGCGAGACAGAGAGAGAGCGCGAGACAGAGAGAGAGCGCGAGACAGAGAGAGAGCGCGAGACAGAGAGAGAGCGCGAGACAGAGAGAGCGCGAGACAGAGAGAGAGCGCGAGACAGACAGAGAGCGTGAGACAGAGAGAGAGAGACAGGGGGCAAAAAGAGCATCTGTTTACTCTCAAACAAAACACAGTTCTATATTTTTGGAAATGATCACGTCGCTCACCTTGGTTAGGTTCTGACTGGTTGCTAGTCTCTCTCTCCTGTGTGTTAGTGTGTTTGTGTGTGTCTCTCAGTGCGTGTGAGGTCTCTTTCTCCAGGCTGTGTAGACTCTGCTCCGTTCTGCCTCTCTCCAACTCCAGCTTCCTGATCTTCTCCTGTAGGTTCATCAGAGCAGACAGGATCGCTACACACACACACACACACACGCACACGCACACGCACACGCACACGCACACGCACACGCACACGCACACAGTATAATCCCCTTTGAAGATAAATATCGTACCATCATATCTTGCCTTATCAGTTACCACACACACTGAGTTAAAGTTATTCTCCACCAGACATTCATGAGTAAAAACTTATCAGCAAGAACTTTGTTAGGCCGCTCAGAGTAGAAGTGATGAGCAGAGAGGGATAGTAGGATGGGTGAAGGTAGGAGGGATGGTGGCGTGAGTACAGTCGTGGTCAAAAGTTGAGAATGACACAAATATTAATTTTCACAAAGTCTGCTGCGTCTGTTTTTATGATGGCAATTTGCATATACTCCAGAGTGATCAGATGAATTGCAATTAATTGCAAAGTCCCTCTTTGCCATGAAAATGAACTTAATCCCAAAAAAACATTTCCACTGCATTTCAGCCCTGCCACAAAAGGACCAGCTGACATGTCATTGATTCTCTCGTTAACACAGGTTAGAGTGTTGACGAGGACAAGGCTGGAGATCACTCTGTCATGCTGATTGAGTTAGAATAACAGACTGGAAGCTTTAAAAAGGAGGGTGGTGCTTGAAATCATTGTTCTTCCTCTGTTAACCATGGTTACCTGCAAGGAAACACGTGCCGTCATCATTGCTTTGCACAAAAAGGCTTCACAGGCAAGGATATTGCTGCTAGTAAGGTTGCACCTAAATCAACCATTTATCGGATCATCAAGAACTTCAAGGAGAGAGGTTCAATTGTTGTGAAGAAGGCGTCAGGGCGCCCAAGAAAGTCCAGCAAGCGCCAGGACCGTCTCCTAAAGTTGATTCAGCCCGCGGGATCGGGGCACCACCAGTGCAGAGCTTGCTCAGGAATGGCAGCAGGCAGGTGTGAGTGCATCTGCACGCACAGTGAGGCGAAGACTTTTGGAGGATGGCCTGGTGTCAAGAAGGGCAGCGAGGAAGCCACTTCTCTCCAGGAAAAACATCAAGGACAGACTGATATTCTGCAAAAGGTACAGGGATTGGACTGCTGAGGACTGGGGTAAAGTCATTTTCTCTGATGAATCCCCTTTCCGATTGTTTGGGGCATCCAGGAAAAAAGCTTGTCCGGAGAAGACAAGGTGAGCGCTACCATCAGTCCCGTGTCATGCCAACAGTAAAGCATCCTGAGACCATTCATGTGTGGGGTTGCTTCTCAGCCAAGGGAGTGGGCTCACTCACAATTTTGCCTAAGAACACAGCCATGAATAAAGAATGGTACCAACACATCCTCCGAGAGCAACTTCTCCCAACCATCCAAGAACAGTTCCTTTTCCAGCATGATGGAGCACCTTGCCATAAGGCAAAAGTGATAACTAAGTGGCTCGGGGAACAAAACATCTACATTTTGGATCCATGGCCAGGAAACTCCCCAGACCTTAATCCCATTGAGAATTTGTGGTCAATCCTCAAGAGGCGGGTGGACAAACAAAAACCCACAAATTCTGACAAACTCCAAGCATTGATTATGCCAGAATGGATGTGGCCCAGAAGTTAATTGACAGCATGCCAGGGCGGATTGCAGAGGTCTTGAAAAAGAAGGGTCAACACTGAAAATATTGACTCTTTGCATAAACTTAATGTAATTGTCAATAAAAGCCTTTGACACTTATGGAATGCTTGTAATTATACTTCAGTATACCATAGTAACATCTGACAAAAATATCTAAAATCACTGAAGCAGCAAACTTTGTGAAGACCAATACTTGTGTCATTCTCAAAACTTTTGACCATGACTGTAGAGAGTGATAGAGAGATGGGGAGTGATAGAGAGATGGGTGAAGGTAGGAGGAAAGAGGGATAGAGATGTGAGAGTGGGGATAGAGGGATAGCGTTTAGCAGAGCCTCAGGTAATAGGCTGTGTCACACAGGGAGAGTGGTGTCAAGTGTCACCTGCTGTTGCCATGGAGACCAGCCTCACCACACAAACCACAATGGAAACTGTCTCACACACACACACACACACACACACACAATGTGGTTCTAACAGCAGTGCAGGTAGTGATTGGTGATTACCTGCACTGCTGCTTTCTGGGAATGCCTTGCTGGGCAGTGTCTGATAGGGAATGTGTGTGTTGCGAGGTGTGTAGGCGGGTAGAGAGGTGTTGATGAAGGGGCGACTTGCAGGGTAGTCTTTGTAGGAGGGTAGAGACAGACTGTTAGACATCACGCCGGCAGAGAGCTCCTGCAGACAGACAGACACAGTCATGGAAACACAATCTCTAACACCATGATATTACTGCCCCCAACACTGATAATATTATTACAAAACCAGACACTACAAACTGTCACCCATTCTAATGATAGATTACAATCCTTAGGACTGTCCCCCAAAACAAACGCCACACACTCCCCTCTACATCTCCAGTGGAATTATCTGGTACACAACTCAGCTGCTCTATAGTTTAGTGATGTTTAGTTTGGTGTTGCACATAAAGGCTGACTATGGTCACTCTCACTTTAACCATTACATTATTGGCTAGCTCTTAGTAACAAGCAAAGTTAGTTAGCTAGCGTAAGTAAACGCGAGAATACATCCAAGACGCTGTGTGTCAAATGGTTAACGTTAGTTTGCGAGTTACTAGTGCTGCTAGCTAGTGCTGGAAAAACACCTAGTTAGATCTGATGCAAATATGCAACTTACAATAGTTAACGTTAGCTAGCTAAACTTTAGTCCATTCAAATGCAAGCTAAGTTAGCTGGATAACTAGCCAAGAGAGGTTTGTTGAGTTGGATAGCTAACGTTAGCTAGCTAAATTAGCTATCTATGTTTACCTTCTCTCGCCCGACGGATGGTTTTGACACTCTCTCCATTGTTGGCAACCAACTCTACTTGCCAGCCGAGCTAGCTACATGGCTTCAGTTTTTATCCGTAGGGTGTCTTCAATTCAGCCAGAGCACATAAACATTCCATATAAAATGTCTGGGTAGCATTTTTACCATCATTTCTGGAATGCAGGAAACAAAATACCGCGCGCGCACTGAAGACCCGGAGGATCCCCTTTCAGGAGTTACGGAGGAGATGACGTCACACGGCGTACAGGGGCTCGGCTTCTCTCCAAAACGGTCAGATACCGTCCAGACCTGTGCGTGTACGCGAAGAGTGCATGGGTTGTGTGGGCCAATAGTTCAGAGGTTACATCAACCAGAATTGACACAGCTGATCCTCCCTCTGACTTGGGAAAGACATGAGAGAAGAACAAACACATTTCCCCTTTAGTGAAAGGCAGCAAAAAGTAACAGAGACACAACCATGTGATCAGTGTAACGTTACAGCTTCACTCACCCACAGCAGCCCACGTGCCTCAGCTTACCAGCTGTCAAGTCTTTACAGTTTTAGCCGCGCAGGTAATGAGGGACTATAGGAAACACACACACACACACACACACACACTTGTTCTCCAGCTTAGCCATGTAGAACAGAAAGGGCCTCATTATCCAGGACTCTGTGTGTGTGTGAACAGTAAAACATATACCCCAACCCTGGTGTTGTGTGTGGTGCAGGTGTGGACAATTCGGGACCTGGAGGGCCAAAGTCACCAGTGAACAGGCTTTTATTCCAGCCCTTAACAACATACCTTGTTGATAAGCAATACAATGAATTGATTATTTAAAGAAAAAGTTCCACAAACTGGCATCAGGGGGAGACAGAGTACATGTTTATATTAATTGTCACTCAGCACAGTAAAATTCACTTAAAAATCAAAGAAGTTTGAAATCTCTTTGTGGACAAAATCAATTCTTACTCTCAGCAGAAATACAAGTTTTACAAATCTAATCTTTCTGTACAGTTCATTTGAACAAAAATGCATGCTTTACAACAAAGTAACATTGCCTCTGAAATGCATTTAACAACTGAAAACACACACACGCACGCACACCCACTTGTCTTGGGTGAATGAGCACACACCAGAAAAGCAACGCAATGCACCTTGGAAATAACTTTGACAGACTAAAGGCACTGTTTTAGAGCAGGGCAGAGGTCTCCCTCTCTCTCTCTACCATCCAATAAGCCTCCAGTTTCCATCACAACTCCTCTGCCAGTCTCTCTCCTCTATTCTATTCTATCAGTCAGCCATCAATACTTTAATTTGTTTCATCCTTAGTCCTTCAGCAGCAGCTTCACAAGACCCTCTCTCGCTCTCCCTCCCTCCGTGTCCATTAGATTAGGATCTCCACTAAGTCTGTGCTTGGTAGGTTTGGGGGCTGGGTTCTAGTCTTATCTATGGAAACAGAGAGAACAGTTAGCTGAAGACATAGTTATCTGTAGAATATCAGATCCAAAGTTAGAATGAAGTTGCTTAACTAGGGTCAGTTTTACATTACATTTTACATTTGGAGAGGGTTCACTGTTCCTTGATTGTTCAGTTTTAGCTGTCACTCACCTGTCCTCTGGGTCCTGGCCAATCCCAGCCAGGCTCTGCTGGGGAGGGGCAGGATTTTGAGGGTCTCTGAACCTTTGTCAGTCTGAGTGCTGCTGTCTCTACTGCCTGTCTTAGAATGGGAGGACAGGAGAGGAGTGGAGGGGAGGGAGGAGGAGAGGGGGAGGGAGGAGGAGAGGGGGAGGGAGGAGGAGAGGGGGAGGGTGGAGGAGAAAGGGAGGGTGGAGGATAGGGAAAGCGTTGAGGAAGAGGAGTAAGGAAGAGTGGAGGAGGAATGAGAAGGTGTAGTGGAGTAGGGGATGGTGGATGAGAAAGCAAGATTGGAAGGGAGGGAGAGAGCAGAGGGAGGGAGAGAGGAGGTGGTTGATAAAGAGGAAGGTGGGGAAGAGAGGAGGGGGAGGGATGGGAGGAGGTTTCTCTCTTTCCTCTCGTCTGTCTGAGAAGCTTGTCGTGGGTGCAGTCCTGTTGCTAAGGAGATGGAGGGGGTGGAGCGGGCAGGGCGGAGGGCGCTGAGGTCATGGCGAGAGTTCCGCTGCTGTAAAACCTTTATCAACGCATCCTTCTCTATCAGTTGGGCATACAGGTTCCTTATCCTGTACACAAACACAGAAAACAGAACCTTGATCCTATTGACTAAAATACAGAGTGAACCAATACATTTTACATTTTAGTCATTTAGCAGACGCTCTTATCCAGAGCGACTTACAGTTAGTGAGTGCATACATTTTTAATCCCTAGTTAAATAAATCAACAATTAAGACGCCTTTTAGACAAGATCAGCCACTTTGATTGTGTGTGTGTATATATATATATACACTGCTCAAAAAAATAAAGGGAACACTAAAATAACACATCCTAGATCTGAATGAATGAAATAATCTTATTAAATACTTTTTTCTTTACATAGTTGAATGTGCTGACAACAAAATCACACAAAAATTATCAATGGAAATCAAATGTATCACCCCATGGAGGTCTGGATTTTGGAGTCACCCTCAAAATTAAAGTGGAAAACCAAACTACAAGGCTGATCCAACTTTGATGTAAATGTCCTTAAAACAAGTCAAAATGAGGCCTCAGTAGTGTGGTGTGGCCTCCACGTGCTGTATGACCTCCCTACAAACGCCTGGGCATGCTCCATGATGAGGTGGCGGATGGTCTCCTGAGGGATCTCCCTCCCAGACCTGGACCTAAAGCATCCACCAACTCCTGGACAATCTGTGGTGCAACGTGGCGTTGGTGGATGGAGCGAGAGACAATGATGTCCCAGATGTGCTCAATTGGGATTCAGGTCTGGGGGAACAGGTGGGCCATTACCTAGCATCAATGGCTTCCTCTTGCAGGAACTGCTGACACACTCCAGCCCACATGAGGTCTAGCATTGGTCTTGCATTAGGAGGAACCCAGGGCCAACCGCACCAGCATATGGTCTCACAAGGGGTCTGAGGATCTCATCTCGGTACCTAATGGCAGTCAGGCTACCTCTGGCGAGCACATGGAGGGCTGTGCGGCCCCCAAAGAAATGCCACCCCACACCATGACTGACCCACCGCCAAACCGGTCATGCTGGAGGATGTTGCAGGCAGCAGAACATTTTCCACGGCGTCTCTAGACTCTGTCACGTCTGTCACGTGCTCAGTGTGAACCTGCTTTCATCTGTGAAGGGCACAGGGCGCCAGTGGCGAATTTGCCAATCTTGGTGTTCTCTGGCAAATGCCAAACGTCCTGCACGGTGTTGGGCTGTAAGCTCAACCCCCACCTGTGGACGTCGGGCCCTCATACCACCCTCATGGAGTCTGTTTCTGACCGTTTGAGCAGACACATGCACATTTGTGGCCTGCTGGAGGTAATTTTGCAGGGCTCTGGCAGTGCTCCTCCTGCTCCTCCTTGCACAAAGGTGGAGGTAGCAGTCCTGCTGCTGGGTTGTTGCCCTCCTATGGCCTCCTCCACGTCTCCTGATGTACTGGCCTGTCTCCTGGTAGCGCCTCCATGCTCTGGACACTACGCTGACAGACACAGAAAACCTTCTTGCCACAGCTCGCATTGATGTGCCATCCTGGATGTGCTGCACTACCTGAGCCACTTGTGTGGGTTGTAGACTCTGTCTCATGCTACCACTAGAGTGAAAGCACCGGCAGCATTCAAAAGTGACCAAAACATCAGCCAGGAAGCATAGGAACTGAGAAGTGGTCTGTGGTCACCACCTGCAGAACCACTTCTTTATTGGGGGTGTCTTGCTAATTGCCTATAATTTCCACCTGTTGGCTATTCCATTTGCACAACAGCATGTGACATTTATTGTCAATCAGTGTTGCTTCCTAAGTGGACAGTTTGATTTCACATTAGTGTGATTAACTTGGAGTTAGATTGTGATGTTTAAGTGTTCCCTTTATTTTTTTGAGCAGTGTATATATATTTACATTTTAGTCATTTAGCAGACGCTCTTATCCAGAGCGACTTACAGTTAGTGAATACATATTTATTTTATACTGGCCCCCCGTGGGAAACGTATATATATATATATATATATATATATATATATATAATATATATATATATATATATATATATATATGTGTGTGTGTGTGTGTATATATATATATATACAGTGGGGGAAAAAAGTATTTAGTCAGCCACCAATTGTGCAAGTTCTCCCACTTAAAAAGATGAGAGATGCCTGTAATTTCATCATAGGTACACGTCAACTATGATAGACAAATTGAGGAAAAAAAAATCCAGAAAATCACATTGTAGGATTTTTAATGAATTTATTTGCAAATTATGGTGGAAAATAAGTATTTGGTCACCTACAAACAAGCAAGATTTCTGGCTCTCACATACCTGTAACTTCTTCTTTAAGAGGCTCCTCTGTCCTCCCCTCGTTACCTGTAGTAATGGCACCTGTTTGAACTTGTTATCAGTATAAAATACACCTGTCCACAACCTCAAACAGTCACACTCCAAACTCCACTATGGCCAAGACCAAAGAGCTGTCAAAGGACACCAGAAACAAAATTGTAGACCTGCACCAGGCTGGGAAGACTGAATCTGCAATAGGTAAGCAGCTTGGTTTGAAGAAATCAACTGTGGGAGCAATTATTAGGAAATGGAAGACATACAACACCACTGATAATCTCCCTCGATCTGGGGCTCCACGCAAGATCTCACCCTGTGGGGTCAAAATGATCACAAGAACGGTTAGCAAAAATCCCAGAACCACACGGGGGGACCTAGTGAATGACCTGCAGAGAGCTGGGACCAAAGCAAACAAAGCCTACCATCAGTAACACACTACGCCGCCAGGGACTCAAATCCTGCTGTGTCCCCTGCTTAAGCCAGTACATGTCCAGGCCCGTCTGAAGTTTGCTAGAGTGCATTTGGATGATCCAGAAGAGGATTGGGAGAATGTCATATGGCCAGATGAAACCAAAATAGAACTTTTTGGTAAAAACTCAACTCGTCGTGTTTGGAGTACAAATAATGCTGAGTTGCATCCAAAGAACACCATACCTACTGTGAAGCATGGGGGTGGAAACATCATGCTTTGGGGCTGTTTTTCTGCAAAGGGACCAGGACGACTGATCCGTGTAAAGGAAAGAATGAATGGGGCCATGTATCGTGAGATTTTGAGTGAAAACCTCCTTCCATCAGCAAGGGCATTGAAGATGAAACGTGGCTGGGTCTTTCAGCATGACAATGATCCCAAACACACCGCCCGGGCAACGAAGGAGTGGCTTCATAAGAAGCATTTCAAGGTCCTGGAGTGGCCTAGCCAGTCTCCAGATCTCAACCCCATAGAAAATCTTTGGAGGGAGTGACCAAATACTTATTTTCCACCATAATTTGCAAATAAATTCATAAAAAATCCTACAATGTGATTTTCTGGAATTTCTTTTCTCATTTTGTCTGTCATAGTTGACGTGTACCTATGATGAAAATTACAGGCCTCTCTCATCTTTTTAAGTGGGAGAACTTGCACAATTGGTGGCTGACTAAATACTTTTTTTCCCCACTGTATGTGTGTGTGTGTGTGTGTGTGTGTGTGTGTGTGTGTGTGTGTGTATATATATATATATGTGTGTGTGTGTGTGTGTGTGTGTGTGTGTATATATATATATATATATATGTGTGTGTGTGTGTGTGTGTGTGTGTATACCTGTGCTCCATGTCATTGCAGCGTCTGGTAGCCTGCTGTACACCATCCTCCTGCCACAGTGTGCAGCCCGCCATCTCACTGTAGCTACCACTGCGAGAGTGCACCACCAGGGTGTCCCTACACACACACACACACACACACACATATATATATATATACACACACACACACACACACACACACACACACACACACACACACACATATATATATACACACACACACACACACAGCCTTGTTAACGTTAACCTGTTTAAAGGTCTTACTCACATCGGCTACGGAGAGCGAGATCACACAGTCGTCCGGAACAACCGGTAGAAGGCATTTAGCTTGTCTGGTAGGCTCACGTCACTGGGCAGCTCGCGGCTAGGTTTCCCTTTGTAACACGTGATAGTTTACAAGCCCTGCCACATCTTACAAACATCAGAGCCGGCATAGTAGGATTCGATCTTAGTCCTGTATTGACGCTTTGCCTGTTTGATGGCTCATCGGAAGTCGTAGCGGGATTTCTTATAAGCATCTGGATTAATGTCCCTCTCCTTGAAAGCGGCAGCTCTAGCCTTTAGCTCAGTGCGGATGTTGCCTGTAATCCATGGCTTCTGGGTGGGATATGTACGTATGGTCACAGTGGGGACAACGTTGTCGATGCACTTATTAATGAAGCCTGTGACTGATGTGGTAAACTCCTCAATGCCATCAGATGAATCCTGGAACATATTCCAGTCTGTGCTAGCGAAAGTCCTGTAGCTTAGCATCCGCTTCATCAGACCACTTCCATATTGAGCGCGTCACTGGTACTTCCTGTTTGAGTTTTTGCTTAAACAGGAATCAGGAGGATAGAGTTATGGTCAAATTTGCCAAAGGGAGGGCGAGTTAGCTATGTACAGTATGCCTTGTATGCATTTCTGTGTTTGGAGTAAAGGTGAGCTAGAGTTTTGTCACCTTTAGTTGCACAGGTGACATGCTGGTAATAATGAGGTAAGACGGATTTCAGTTTCCCTGCATTAAAATCACTGGCCATAGGAAGCGCTGCCACTGGGTGTGCATTTTCCTGTTTGCTTACGGCCCTATACAGCTCGTTGAGTGCAGTCTTAGTGCCAGCATCGGTTTGTGGTGGTAAATAGACAGCTACGAAAAATATAGATGAAAACTCTCTTGGTAAATAGTATGGTCTGCAGCTTATCATGTGGTATTCTAACTCAGGCGAGCAGAACCTCCAGACTTCCTTACCATTAGAGATTGCGCACCAGCAGTTGTTAACAAATAGACACACCCCTCCCCACTAATCTTACCCCGAGGCTGCCGACCGGTCTTGACAACGCATGGAAAAGCCAGCGAGATGTATATTACCCATGTCCTTGTTCTGCCACCACTCCGAGAAGCATATCACAGGATAGTCTCGAACGGAGCTCATCCTGTTGTTCTGTAGTGACTGTACGTTCACCAACAGAACGGAGGGTCGAGGAAGTTTATTAGCTTCGCCAACGTACTCAGGACGCCGGCTCATCTGCCTCTTTTGTGCCATCGCTTCCTCTTTTGAATCCCGGGAAGTAGGGCCTGGTCCGGAGTAAGCAGCACATCCAGAGCTGCCGACTCGTTGAAATATAAATTGTCGTCCAAATCGAGGTTAGTGAGTGCTGTTCTGATCTCCAGAAGCTGTTTTCAGTCATAGGAAATGATGGTGAAGACATTATGTACAAAAACAATTAAGATCAGCGTAAAAATAACAACACAAAATAGCCCGTAGAAAACGGATGCTATCCACTGCAGCACCATCTCTACCTTCTCTACCTATGTGTATGAGTGACCTGTTGGTGTGTGTGTATACCTCTGTGCGTTGGCTGTAGCAGCAGTCTCCATGTTAAAGTGTCTCATGGCGTTCTCCTGCAGGTACTTCTGTTCCCAGCGGGTAGAGTCAGCCTCTAGAGCCAGCACCCTCTCCTCCCTCTGCCTCAGCAGCTCCCTCAGAGCAGGGGCACTGCCCTCCCCTACACCCCCACACACACCTGGTGCAGAGGTCCCACACACACCCACACACACTCTCTGAGGGGAGGAGAGAGAGGCGGAGGAAGAAGAAAGAGACAGATGGAGAAAATAAAATACGGTTTTAGCCAATCCAGACCCGCTTTTATGCATTAACAAAATAGCATATGACCTGTTATGACATTGTTATAACACAGTTGTGTGTGGTACCTGTTGCGTGCGCAGTGTGTGTAGCTCTCTCTCCAGCCGTGTGCGCAGGCGTCTCTCCAGCTGCTCTCTCTTCTCACAAGTCGTCTGCAACTGCACCACAGCATGCTGCAACCCTTCCACACGCGCCGCGTACACACACTTCACACGCAGCTACACACACACACACACACACACACACACACAGACCAGGGAGGAGAGGACACAGATACAGTATGTTGGTTTGATCTGTATGTGTATATGGTGTGTGAATAAGTGTCTGAGTGTGTGATGTAATGTGATGTGATATAATGTGTGTGATGTGATATAATGTGATGTCATGTGATGTCCTGTAATGTAATGTCCTGTAATGTAATGTGATGTAATGTGATGTGATGTAATGTGATGTAATGTGATGTGATGTGATATAATGTATACCTCCTCCTCTAGGTGTAGTGCTCTCTGCTGGGCGCTGCTCAGAGCTGACTCCAGTCTCTCTGCCCTCTGCTGCTGCTCCTCCACCTCCTCCTCCAAACGCTCTTTCTCTATCAGTCCATCTCCTGAGAGACAGAGAAAGACAGTGAGAGACAAAGAGAGAGAGACAGTGAGAGACAAAGAGAGAGAGACAGAGAGAGAGACAGAGACAGAGAGAGACAAAGAGAGAGACAGAGAGACAGAGAGAGACAGTGAGAGACAGAGAGACAGTGAGAGACAGAGAGAGAGAGACAGAGAGACAGTGAGAGAAAGAGAGACAGTGAGAGACAGAGAGAGACAGACAGAGACAGAGAGAGACAAAGAGAGAGACACAGAGAGACAGAGAGAGGGAAAGGGGGAAGAGAAGAGAGAAGAGAAAAAAGGCTCAAATCAGACTTGCTAACTAACCCTTTAAAGTTAGAATTAGAGAACCCAGTACTCCTCATGACTGGAATGTTCAGAGGCAGCAACATGGCGTCCAGCTCTAAAGTTGGCCAAACTCTAGGTAGGGTGGACGTGTGTTGGAGGAGAAGGGAGAGAGGGAGATAAACTCTAGGTCAGGGGTGACTGTTTGGTGGGGAGGGAGGAGGGAGGATAAACTCTAGGACGGGGTGGACGTTGTTGGGGGGAGGAGGAGGGAGGATAAACTCTAGGTAGGGTGGACGTGTTTGGTGGGGAGGGAGGGAGGAGGGATAAACTCTAGGTAGGGGTGGACGTGTGTTGAGGTGGGGGAGGGGGGGGAGGGAGGGATAACTCTATGTAGGAGGTCGACGTTGTTGGATGTGGGGAGGAGAGGGCAGGGAGGGATAAAACTCTAGGTAGGGGTGGACGTGTGTTGGGTGGGGGAGGGAGGGAGGGAGGGATAAACTCTAGGTAGGGGTGGACGTGTGTTGGGTGGGGGAGGGAGGGAGGGATAAGGGGGGTAGTGGAATCTGCTGAGGCAGCATTCCCAGCACAGACCAGATCATTCCCCTTTGTCTCTGGGATAACATGTCACACACACATGCAGGAGGAGGGGAGAGACGCAGGTGTGTGTGAAGGGAAGAGGGGAGGAGGTGGGGTGCAGAGTATTTGGGTAGTTTCTGTGTGTGTGGGGGATGGGGCTGACACTTTGAAAGAGCACCTGTCCAAAAACTGCTATAAGAGATCTTGCCTTTCCCTCCCTTTGCCTGTCTCTACCGGTCTCCCCCTCTCTATCTCTCCCTCCCCACTCTATCCCTCGTTCCTGGTGTCACATACCAGACAGCACAGTGAAATAAAACAAACACTTCCACTCCTCTCTCATGGTTCCCTTTTGTACTTTAACTATTTGCACATTGTTACAACACTGTATATAGACATAATATGACATTTGAAATGTCTTTATTCTTTTGGAACTTTTGTGAGGTGTAATGTTTACCGTTAAAAAAAAAGAAGAGTTTATTTCACTTTTGTTTATTATCTATTTCACTTGCTTTGGCAATGTAAACATATGTTTCCCATGCTAATAAATATCTTAAATTGAATTGAGAGAGAGAGAGCGAGAGATAGAATGGGAGAGAAAGAGAGAGGGGGAGAGAGAGGAGGAGGGGAGAGATGGAGTGATGAGAGGGAGAGAGAGGGAGAGAGTGAGGAGAAGAGGAGAGAGGGATGGGAATTAGAGGAGAAATGGAGTAGGGGATGAGCAGATGAATGGAGAAGAGTGTAGTGGGAGTGCGTAGAGCTAGGTTGTTATGGCGCAATTGGATCGAGGGCGGTTGAGTGCGAGAGAGCGACTGGCTTGTAAGTCTCTCGCTGGGCTCTCCGCGTGTGTCTTTTGTACCGTTGCTGTGGTACCGTACTAGCGCCTCGATGCGGCTACGTTGGGGAGTGGGAGTGGGAGAACGTGAGAAAGGTGGTGGTCAGGAGGAGAAAGTTCTCTCTGTTCGGGTTTCCAGGCCAGACGAGGTCACTGTCTGTATTCACACTGACTCTCTAATAAAAGTATGTGTGTGTGTGTATGTGTGTGTGAGCGTCCGTGCGTGCATGGGTGTGTGTGTCATGTGTGGCTAAAAGGAAATGGGATAATTGTATGTGTTCTGAATTTAGCCTGGGAAGAGAGGGAGTGGTGGAGAAAAAGGAGGAGAGGAAAGAAGATAGGAAAACCTAAATGCTGGGTGTGTCCATATTCCCACTCACAAACACTCATCAACATCACAAACACACAAGTACAGACACACACACTTACTAAGCTCAGCAGCATGTCCATCCTCCTCTCCTTCTGGCTCACGGCACGCTAGCTGTTGATTGGCAGTCTCTAGGCGATCTGAGACAGACATTACATAGACATAACATAGTCATACAGACATGACATAGTCACGCACAGACATGACAGTCATACAGACATGACATAGTCACGCACAGACATGACATAGTCACACATACATGACATAGTCACACAGACATGACATAGTCACACAGACATGACATAGTCACGCACAGACATAACATAGTCATACAGACATGACATAGTCACACAGACATGACATAGTCACGCACAGACATAACATAGTCATACAGACATGACATAGTCACACAGACATGACATAGTCACGCACAGACATAACATAGTCATACCATAGTCACACAGACATGACATAGTCACACAGACATGACATAGTCATACAGACATGACATAGTCACACAGACATGACATAGTCATAGAGACATGACATAGTCATACAGACATTACATAGTCATAGAGACATGACATAGTCACACAGACATGACATAGTCATAGAGACATGACATAGTCATACAGAGACATGACATAGTCATAGAGACATAACAGTCATACAGAGACATAACAGTCATACAGAGACAAAACAGTCATACAACATAGATGAACATGTTCAACTCCTCTTTCTTCTATTAACACAACTTATTGGCCGAAATGACCCAAATCCCAAACATACAGTCTGCTAAATGATGTAAATGTAATACAGCTAAGAAAAAGGTTGAAAAAAGGGTGACGGCACTTATAGTACCCAATTATTAATTTTATTTTCAACATCCTTTTACAAGTCCTCCTGTCCTACCTCTCAGGTCTCTGTTGAAGACTGTCAGGCGTCTAATCTCCCCCTCCAGTTTGCACCTCATGGTTCGGTCCAGCCCCTCCCTCTTTGACGAGCTCTTCATCAGCCAATCATACTCTTCAGAGATCTTCTGGAGCTCCTCCTCTAACTGCAGCACAAGGAAGAGTAGTTCGTATAAATTACTTAAATAGGGTCGGGGGGGGGGCAAAGAAGTGGGTTTGTTAAACCCTGGTTTAAGGCCCAATTAAGCAGTTTTTATATCAATATCAAATAATTTCTGGGTAAAAATTAGGTACCTTACTGTAATAATTTTCCATTAAAATTGACAAAAATAGCTTTTAAGCAAAACCATTTCTCAAGCAAGAATCTTGACTATCTGGGAGTGGTCTAAATTGGGAGTGGAAAACTGAACAGTAGCTGTTATTGGCAGAAAGGTTTGGAACTCTCTTTGTTATTGGTCTATTAATCAATTTACCACATGGTGATGTCACCATGGAAAGACAAAACTGCTGATTACAAGGTCCTGTGTAGATTGTATTTTATTATAATAATAATAATAATAATAATAATAATAATAATATGCCATTTAGCAGACGCTTTTATCCAAAGCAACTTACAGTCATGCGTGCATACATTTTTGTGTACGGGTGGTCCCGGGGATCGAACCCACTACCTTGGCGTTACAAGCGCCGTGCTCTACCAGCTGAGCTACAGAGGACCACCATTTTCAACCAGAAACTATCAGGAAATAACACTGATCAAATTTGTTCACCATTTTACAGTGTTAGTTTCATCAGCTGTTGTACAATATGATATAAAACACACAAAAAACAGAATTTTGAATGCAATGGGCCTTAAAGGTTATGGGGTTATAGTGAGCACACACACACAAACTCCCTCGTACCCAGTGCAGTTTGGAGGCCTTCTCTCTGTGTGTCAGCAGCTCCTGTCTCAGACTCTGGTTCTCCTCACACAGCAGCTGGACCATCTGCTGCACCTTGGCTGCCATGACTACCTCTGCACCGGAGGGGCCTGGGGTAGGTTGTTGAGGCTGGGCTTGGAGCTGAGAGACAAGGGTAGAAGTCTGGGGCTGGATCTTGGGGAGAAGGGTGGAGGTGTGGGTCTGTGAAAATAGGATCTGGGAGGGTGTGGGACTGTGGTGGTACTGGACTGAGGGACCCCCTAGGGTCCCGGGGTGGTGCCGCCTGCTCTGGTACTCAGGTGGGGGGTTGCTATCAGCTCTGGTTGGCTGGGCTGTGGACCAGTCCATTATTGTGGAAGAGGGGGGGTCGATGAAGAGAGGGCCTAGCTCAGAGGGAGAGGAGGGGGGCTGGGGTTTCCCTGAGGGGGAGCAGGGGGGCGACTGGGGGGGCTTGAAGGGATACTCTGGCGGGGGTCCGCGGGGGTCTCCTGATCCTGTGAGTGGGGTTAGGTTTAGGGGTGCGGGGTAACAGGGGGAGGGGTTGTTAGAGGGAGGGTTACTAGTTCCATTGGTCTCAATGCTGAGTTGGAGGATCCTCTGGCTGAGGGAGTACACATGACCCTGCTTCAGTTCCCTCAGAGCAGAGACTCCAATGGCCGCTCCACCCCAGATAGACAAACCCTCAGCCTCATCCCCATCACAGATAAAGCCTTGCTGAGGGCCCAGGGGTGGGCTGGGGCTGGGGCTGGAGAAAGGAGAGGGGTCAGTGTTGGTGTCAGGGCTAGAGGTCTCAGAGCGGCTGTCGGGAGCTAAGCTGGTCCAGGCTGAGGGCTGTCTGTCTGGGGTGTGAGAGGGGCCAGGTAGGCTCTCCTGGTCCTCCAGTGTGTAATAGAGCTGGTCCTGGTGGTGGCGTTGTCCCTGGGTCTGGGCCTTGGCCTGCTCGTAGCTCGGCAGCTCCTCTAAGCTGGGCTGGAGGGAGGGTTGGGGGGGCTGGGGGGGGTCCATGTTTCTCCAGGGAGCTACCGTCAGCCTGCTGCTCCTGCCCCTGAGGCTCCTGCCGAGCCCAGCGCAGCTCGGGGAACTGGGGGTGAGCTAGTGGGGGGTGAGGGAAGGTAAGGGGGTAAGGTGGTAGTTGGCTGTCTGAGGTGGGGGGGGCGCTACAGTCTGTACTGCTGGGCGGTGGGGAGGCCACCTGGGAGGGCTGCATGGGGTTCAGGTTGTCACTCTGAGGCCCTCCTCCTCCTCCTCCGCCTCCCCTGTAGCTGGTTTGTTCTTGTATGGTGTTTGAGAGAAGACTCCTGCCCTCCTCCTCCTCTCCTTGCATGGCGCTCACACAGGGGTGGGACACAAACGCCAAGGCTGCATCACCTAGGAAACAGCAGGGGTCAGAGGTCAATGTCAGGTGAATAATGCCTAAGGCCTAGCTTAACCCCCCTAACTGCTAGTGTACCTGGTTCCCTGGCAGGTGTGGAGGTGGGATGGGTGGGGTGGGTGGACAGTAACAGTGGATGGGTGGTCATTGAGGGGGGGTCATTGTTGATGGTGAAGGGGACTGTCTCTGGGGGGCACAAAACCACATCCTCCAGTGCAAAGGCTCCTGGGAAACTGTGGTACAAAGAGAGACCTGAAAAAGAAACAAAAATAAAATAGTCGTTTTTACTTATAAGTTATAATAGGCTAGGGACCAGGACCTCCTAATTCTCAGGAGGCAACACTGTCTGGTCATCTGCTGTCCTCAGCATTGCCACCCTGGTGTTTCCCTCCAGTACCTCTCAAAGCAAACAGAGACACAACCACCTGTCCAACTACTGCCTGTCCATCCACCCACACACACACACACACACACACACACACACACACACACACACACACACACACACACACACACACAGTAAAATGTGGAAGATGTCCAGAGAATCTTGTAACTATATACATAGCAAGCTTGCTGTTGTAGCCTACTGGACAACTGACACATTAACAGGGTTTACCAAACTCGGTCCTGGGCCCCCGGGTTCACGTTTTGTTTTTTGCCCTAGCACTACACAGCTGATTAAAATAATCAAAGCTTGATGATGAGTTGGTTTTTTGAATCATCTGTGTAGTGCTAGGGCAAAAAACAAAACCTGAACCCAGGGGGGGGCCCAGGACCGAGTTTGGGAAACCCTGCACTAACAGACAGAAATAGACAACTGACACACTAAAGGACCGAAATAGACAACTGAACTGACACATTATGGAACGAAATAGAACCGGAGATTAATTCCTGCACTATGTAGGCAGCTATAATCGCGACCCAAGCCGCTATGCACTTTGAAGACAAACACCCAAAAGTTATTTAGGCTAGTCTACAGTTAACTTCCCGAGAACCGGTCAGAGACGGCCCTGCACAATTTAAGACAGTATGTGCGTAGCGCGTGGATCGAAGTGACCAAAACATCACATGCTGAAAGAAAGCTGACCTCACGCACTTCTTTCCCTTATACAGGCAGAAACGTTTACCTCGGTCCTAAATGATCGGTCGTGTTGAGATACTTCTCTCCGCGCGCTAATGGCGCAACCGGTCTTGAGGCTGACTGCACCGGCTTTCAGAAAAGCAGATTCGGGCAGAAGCGCAAATAGCAGTGGGTCAGCGACCACAGCGGTAGCGCGAGCATAATCAGCCCCGGCCCGTTCGTTCTGGAATGAGCGGAATGCCAGTGCAAGCCCTGCAGCTCAGGGGGGCATGCCGGGGTCCTAGCGCCCGCGAGTTAATAACCGGGGGTCTTCTTCTTACATTTGACATTTTAATCATTTAGCAGACGCTCTTATCCAGAGCGATTTACAGTTAGTGAGTGCATACATTTTCTTCTTCTTCTTCTTCTGTTGTTTTTTATATGGCGGTTGGCATTCTTCTTCTTTAAGGTTTTATGGCAGGCTACACCAAATGGTGTATAGCTGCTACCGACTGTATTGAAACAAAAAATATTCCATTGGGGGGGGGGACCCGAAATCATACAAAAATAAAAAAAAATTATCAAAAAACATCACACTCCTTCAGTCACAGTTGAAATCATATCCCTAAACAGGCTCAGGTGCCCGTGAGGATGGAGCGTTCATCGACAGGATTCCTTGTAATACCTCTGCTGTAAAATCCTTGAGTCCCAAAAAACACTCAGCCGTACTCACAATGTTGCCTATTTTCTCAGATTTCCTCTCTGTTTGCGCTGTGCAGTTGATAACCAATGCAATAAATGCTACAAAGTCCACCTTTCTTAACATGCAACATGTCAGAATCTCTCTGTTGACAAGGAATATTCTCTGGTGTCTCTACTCCTACTACCATTATTTCTTCAACTTCACTCCTTTCTTCCACTCTTCTCACTGCCTCCAGATAGGAGACATGCTGGACAGCCATTATGTGGGTCAGTCGGTGTGCACCAACCACTTGATCCAATTCTTCACGTATATATCCTTTGCATTTACTTCTATCACCACCACAGAGATAACACCCTTGATAGGCACCCGGCTTCGAAGATCCACACACAACACATTCCAATCCGACATCTTTTTGATGCGCAGAGCACGCTCCTTCCTGTACCATAGATACACACATTCCAATCCGACATCTTTTTGAGGCCCAGAGCATCCTCCTTCCTGTTCCATAGATATACACATTCCAATCCGACATCTTTTTGAGGCGCAGAGCACGCTCCTTCCTGTTTCATAGATACACACATTCCAATCTGACATCATTTTGAGGCGCAGAGCACGCTCCTTCCTGTTTCATAGATAAACACACATTCCAATCCGACATCTTTTTGAGGCGCAGAGCACGCTCCTTCCTGTTTCCCCACAGTGACCGTACGTACATACCCCAACCGGATTACAGGCAACATCCGTACTGAGCTAAAGGGTAGAGCTGCCGCTTTCAAGGAGCGGGACTCTAACCCGGACGCTTATAAGAAATCCCGCTATGCCCTCCGACGAACCATCAAACAGGCAAAGAGTCAATACAGGACTAAGATTGAATCGTACTACACCGGCTCTGACGCTCGTCGGATGTGGCAGGGCAACACTGAAGCATGCATGAGAGCACCAGCTGTTCCGGATGACTATGTGATCACGCTCTCCGTAGCAGATGTGAGTAAGACTTTAAAGCAGGTCAACATTTACAAGGCCGCAGGGCCAGACGGATTACCAGGACGTGTACTCCGAGCATGTGCTGACCAACTGGCAAGTGTCTTCACTGACATTTTCAACATGTCCCTGACTGAGTCTGTAATACCAACATGTTTCAAGCAGACCACCATAGTCCCCGTGCCCAAGAACACTAAGATAACCTGCCTAAAAGACTACCGACCCGTAGCACTGACGTCTGTAGCCATGAAGTGCTTTGAAAGGCTGGTCATGGCTCACATCAACACCATTATCCCAGAAACCCTAGACCCACTCCAATTTGCATACCACTCCAACAGATCCATAGATGATGCAATCTCTATTGCACTCCAAACTGCCCTTTCCCACCTGGACAAGAGGAACACCTACGTGAGAATGCTATTCATTGACAACAGCTCAGCGTTCAACACCATAGTGCCTTCAAAGCTCATCACTACAGTGAGGGAAAAAAGTATTTGATCCCCTGCTTTTTTTGTACGTTTGCCCACTGACAAAGACATGATCAGTCTATAATTTTAATGGTAGGTTTATTTGAACAGTGAGAGACAGAATAACAACAAACAAATCCAGAAAAACGCATGTCAAAAATGTTATAAATTGATTTGCATTTTAATGAGGGAAATAAGTATTTGACCCCTCTGCAAAACATGACTTAGTACTTGGTGTCAAAACCCTTGTTGGCAATCACAGAGGTCAGATGTTTCTTGTAGTTGGCCACCAGGTTTGCACACATCTCAGGAGGGATTTTGTCCCACTCCTCTTTGCAGATCTTCTCCAAGTCATTAAGGTTTCAAGGCTGACGTTTGGCAACTCAAACCTTCAGCTCCCTCCACAGATTTTCAAGTCTCCTGAGTGGCGCAGTGGTCTAAGGCACTGCATCGCAGTGCTAGCTGTGCCACTAGAGATCCTGGTTCGAATCCAGGCTCTGTCGCAGCCGGCCGCGACTGGGCGGCGCACAATTGGCCTAGCGTTGTCCAGGGTAGGGGAGGGAATGGCCGGCAGGGATGTAGCTCAGTTGATAGAGCATGGCGTTTGCAATGCCAGGGTTGTTGGTTCGATTCCCACGGGGGACCAGTTTGAAAAAAATAAATAAAAAATATATATGTATTCACTAACTGTAAGTCGCTCTGGATAAGAGTGTCTGCTAAATGACGTAAATGTAAGGTCTGGAGAATGGCTAGGCCACTCCAGGACCTTAATGTGCTTCTTCTTGAGCCACTCCTTTGTTGCCTTGGCCATGTGTTTTGGGTAATTGTCATGCTGGAATACCCATCCACGACCCATTTTCAATGCCCTGGCTGAGGGAAGGAGGTTCTCACCCAAGATTTGACGGTACATGGCCCCGTCCATCGTCCCTTTGATGCAGTGAAGTTGTCCTGTCCCCTTAGCAGAAAAACACCCCTAAAGCATAATGTTTCCACCTCCATGTTTGACGGTGGGGATGGTGTTCTTGGGGTCATAGGTAGCATTCCTCCTCCTCCAAACACGGCGAGTTGAGCTGATGCCAAAGAGCTCCATTTTGGTCTCATCTGACCACAACACTTTCACCCAGTTCTCCTCTGAATCATTCAGATGTTCATTGGCAAACTTCAGACGGGCATATATATGTGCTTTCTTGAGCAGGGGGACCTTGCGGACGCTGCAGGATTTCAGTCCTTCACGGCGTAGTGTATTACCAATTGTTTTCTTGTTGACTATGGTCCCAGCTGCCTTGAGATCATTGACAAGATCCTCCTGTGTAGTTCTGGGCTGATTCCTCACCGTTCTCATGATCATTGCAACTCCACGAGGTGAGATCTTGCATGGAGCCCCAGGCCGAGGGAGATTGACAGTTATTTTGTGTTTCTTCCATTTGCGAATAATCGCACCAACTGTTGTCACCTTCTCACCAAGCTGCTTGGCGATGGTCATGTAGCCCATTCCAGCCTTGCGTAGGTCTACAATCTTGTCCCTGACATCCTTGGAGAGCTCTTTGGTCTTGGCCATGGTGGAGAGTTTGGAATCTGATTGATTGATTGCTTCTGTGGACAGGTGTCTTTTATACAGGTAACAAACTGAGATTAGGAGCACTCCCTTTAAGAGTGTGCTCCTAATCTCAGCTCATTACCTGTATAAAAGACACCTGGGAGCCAGAAATCTTTCTGATTGAGAGGGGGTCAAATACTTATTTCCCTCATTAAAATGCAAATCAATTTATAACATTTTTGACATGCGTTTTTCTGGATTTTTTTGTTGTTATTCTGTCTCTCACTGTTCAAATAAACCTACCATCAAAATTATAGACTGATCATGTCTTTGTCAGTTGGCAAACGTACAAAATCAGCAGGGGATCAAATACTTTTTTCCCACACTGTAAGCTAAGGATCCTGGGACTAAACACCTCCCTCTGCAACTATATCCTGGACTTCCTGACGGGCCGCCCCCAGGTGGTAAGGGTAGGTAACAACATATCTGCCACGCTGATCCTCAACACGGGGGCCCCTCAGGGGTGCGTGCTCAGTCCCCTCCTGTACTCCCTGTTCACCCATGACTGCATGGCCAGGCACGACTCCAACACCATCATTAAGTTTGCCAACGACACAACAGTGGTAGGCCTGATCACCGACAACGATGAGACAGCCTATAGGGAGGAGGTCAGAGACCTGGCTGTGTAGTGTCAGGATAACAACCTCTCCCTCAACGTGACCAATACAAAGGAGATGATTGTGGACTACAGGGAAAAAAAGAGGACTGAGCACGCCCCCATTCTCATCGACGAGGCTGTAGTGGAACAGGTTGAGAGCTTCAAGTTCCTTGGTGTCCACATCACCAACGAACTATCATGGTCCAAACACACCAAGACAGTCATGAAGAGGGCACGACAAAGCCTATTCCCCCTCAGGAGACTGAAAAGATTTGGCATGGGTCCTCAGATCCTCAAAACGTTCTACAGCTGCACCATCGAGAGCATCCTGACTGGTTGCATCACCACCTGGTATGGCAACTGCTCGGCCTCCGACCGCAAGGGGTAGTGTGTACGGTCCACGGGGGGTCAGTATGAAAATAAAAAAAAATGTATGCACTCACTAACTGTAAGTCGCTCTGGATAAGAGCATCTGCTAAATGACTAAAATGTAAAATGTACATCACTGGGGCAAAGCTTCCTGCCATCCAGGACCTCTATACCAGGCGGTGTCAGAGGAAGGACCTCAAAATTGTCAAAGACTCCAGCCACCCTAGTCATAGACTGTTCTCTCTGCTACCGCACTGCAAGCGGTACCGAAGCGCCAAGTCTAGGTCCAAAAGGCTTCTCAACAGCTTCTACCCCCAAGCCATAAGACTCCTGAACAGCTAATCATGGCTACCCAGACTATTTGCACTGCCCCCCCCCCCCCCCACCCCATCTTTTTACGCTGCTGCTACTCTGTTAATTATTTATGCATAGTCACTTTAACTCTTCCCACATGTACATGTTACCTCAACTACCTCAACTAGCCGGTGCCCCCGCACATTGACTCTGCACTGGTACCCCCCTGTATATAGCCTCCCTACTGTTATTTTATTTGACTTCTGCTCTTTTTTTCTCAACACTTTTTTGTTGTTGTTGTTTTATTTTACTTTTTTATTAAAAAATAAATGCATTGTTGGTTAAGGGCTGTAAGTAAGCATTTCACGGTAATGTCTACACCTGTTGTATTCGGCGCATGTGGCAAATAAAATTTGATTTGATTTGATTCACACACATTCCAATCCGACATCATTTTGAGGCGCAGCGCACGCTCCTTCCTGTTCCATAGATACACACACATTCCAATCCGACATCTTTTTGAGGCTCAGAGCATGCTCCTTCCTGTTCCATACATACACACATAAAAAAGCCCACTTCTCGTTACTCTCATCGACGCCACCTCATCCAATGTTTATAGAGACTTCAAATGGATCTCCCAGGTAACAACATCGATCCAAAACCCTTACTACAAAAAAAGACTCAGAACTAGGCTTGGATTTACTCGATTCCACAACCACTTTACTTCACTTATTTCCTTTGGTATTCGCCTCTGTAATCCAATTCCTCTCAGTCTCATCTCTACTCTACGCCATCTGATTCAAACAGAACATCCGCTTCCGTCATTTTCCTCCCTGGGCCCTCTCACCAATACCAATCGGAAAGGCTCTAGCCAGGGGTCATAGTATAGGGTTCCAATGATGTTAGGTTTAGGTTCAAGTGTAAAACTTATGCTGATTTATGGATGGAAAGAGAGCTCTACCTAACTCTGTCTCACCTGGTGTTTTGTTGCAGGCCTAGGTCATATTTTTCAGAGCCTATTTTTCTCACACACACACACATGCTTGTTTTTCTAACCTCGTAGAAAAACAAAACCACACACACACACACACACACACACACCCAGGGAGAGAAGGGGGGGTTAAGTGTAGACTACCTCCGTCGGGCTCGGGCTCGTGCTCCTGAGACACTCCAATGTGATCCAGCCATTGAGCCACATCTTCTGGAATCCAGTTCTCACCAGACTCCAGACCAGCTTTCCCCCTTGGTGCAGAATCCAGTCCAGCATTTCTTTCAGACCCTGACTCCATGCCTGCTTTTGATCCTGGTCAGACAGAAGCTCTGGTTAGGGTGTGTGTGTGGTTAGGTTTATTCCTGCATGTGAGAACTTGCTTGGTACTCAACTACAGTCTGTAAACACCTACTTTTGTGTGTGTGTGTGTGTGTGTGTGTGTGTGTGTGTGTGTGTGTGTGTGTGTGTGTGTGTGTGTGTGTGTGTGTGTGTGTGTGTGCGTGCGTGCGTGCGTGTAATCTGAAAAACATTCCCTACAGCAACAAGACACCATGTGTGAGAGATCTGTAGATTTAGATATCTCCATCCCTATTTCCCTTTATCTCTCACACACTTTCCCCTTGCTTATTCACACTACAGACTAGAGCAGAGGAGAGAATCAACCACAGATCACTCTCACAGTACCTACTCTTTATCCTCCTCTCGCTCTCGCTCTCTCTCTCTCTCTCTCTGTCCCTTCCTCGCCCTCTGTCTCCCTCTGCCCCCCCACCCCACCCTTTAATGGAGATTGTCCTACCTGAGTGTTGCCCGTGGATAATGTCTGATGAGGAAGATGATGGTGAGAGTCAGCGATGAGTGTGTGCTTTGGGGCATCTAAATGGCGTCTGAATCCACCAAACCCCACAGTCACACAGACATGCCAACTCTGCCCAGACCTGCCTCAACACACACACACATAGGGGCGTCCTTGGAATGAGGGAGGGAGAGAAAGAGCAAGGGAGCGATAGAGGTGGGAGAGAGAGGAAGAAGAGAGGAAGAATTAAATAACCAAGTAGAGAGAGAGAGAGAAGAGGAGAGAGAGAGAGAGAGAGAGAGAAGAAAGAAAAGAAAGAAAGAAAGAAAGAAAGAAAGAAAGAAAGAAAGAAAGAAAGAAAGAAAGAAAGAAAGAAAGAAAGAAAGAGAAACGAGAGAAGGAAAGATTAATCTCTCCTACATTCTGCCTCTTCGTCTGTGTTTAGAGACATTCTGTCTGTTCTGTTATCTGTCCACTGAGGGCAAGGACACACACACACATGCACACACACACACTAGCGGTTAGCACGTTGGGCCAGTAAACAGAAGGTCACTAGTTCGAATCCCTATCCAAAAAGGTGAATAATCTGTCAATGTGCCCTTGAGCAAGACACTTTACCCTAATTGCTACAGGGTTGTCACTGATAAGCAGACCCTGGCCGTGACCCCACTCTCCGAGGCTGTCTCAGGGAGAGTGGGATATGCAAAAAACACATTTCCAATACATACTTGTACATGTGTGAAATAGGACAAATATAAGCACCCACCAAATTATTATTATTATTACACACACTGCGCTCTCACTGCCCTCTAGTGAGTAGTTAGTATGTTCCTACTTTTCTGGGACTGGGTGAAGTCTGACATCATTCTATCCTAATCGCTCATTATTTCCTAATCTCTCATGTCTCTAAAATAAAACCTCTATGCCGCTATAAAAGCATATAGCCTACCGAGGTCTATAATTACAAATGACCTACGCCGCTCACTGCAAATCGAGCGCATCTAACTTTGTTTTTCTGGAGTAGATCGTCTTCTTTAGGGATTTGTCATTTTTTCTTCGTCAGACATGGTATGGCTACTTGCGGAGGCTTCATGTAAATAAAACTACATTTCCCCCCCCGAAAACCACGTGTAGGTATGGCGAGAAAGAGAGCGCGGTTGTTTGAAATGGATTGATTGATATTGATAAAGAAGAACATCAAGACGAAGCAGCTGCTTTACAAGTGGGATGCACTGTTGAGCGCTACATCCCGAGGGGTTCATGCTGATTGTATGGAGATTGTGACTGCCGGTTAAATGGCGTCCCTTGGCAAGGCAAGAACAAGATTTATGTCCGGAGAAGTGCAGTATTATCATGAGGAGACATATACTTGGAATGGTAGGTGTGGTGAAGTTCTCGGAGCCCGATGCTTGCACCGAGGGTCAGGATAAAGATGAATCTGTGACAGTAGGAGTGACGTTTTTGGAAAAAGTGGACCCTTGCCTTTTGGCTTAACCATTTGTGGTTTCAGGGTGGGTGAAGACAGAGCTGGGTGCTGTGTGTGGGAAATTATTCTCTTATATTTTAGATGTGCTGTTAGCTTAGAAAGAATACATTAATGATTAAACATAATAGGTTTGTACTGTACTGATATAAATTGTTTAACCTAACAAGCTGTGATTAATGTGAGGAGCTGTTAGGGAGTAGGGTGAGATAAGGCTTGTGTCTCACATACACCCACACTGCCTCTTTGTTAGACCGCTCAAGGACATGTGTTCTGCTACAAACTGTGTCTATGGGTGCTGACTCTCTGGACAAGCTGCAGATAACAACTTATGCCTGGCAACAGTGAAGCGCCAAGGGGCTGGGACTAGCCTGTGCGCCAACGATAGGCTGAGTAAGTCTAAACCACGCTCAGTCTCTACTCTGATAGGCTAGCAGGGAGCGGGAACTATCTCTGTCAGAGTATTTAAAGAAGAACTTATAACAATGGGCCAGTTCTCTGACTGCCCTGTGTGGTTTTTCAGTGGACCCGTATATACGAACATCATATTTACCATTGAAGTGTTTTGCATTAATTAAAATACTAGTCTATTTTAGAAGACGTGTATTGACCTCTTTTTGTTCCAATACCAGATTTGAATTGACGCAACTTAACATGTGGAATTGGTGAGGGTAACCAGAAGTGGTCTTGTGATAATTGTTTGTGTTTCTGCTGGTCAGAGGGAGCAGGCACTCTGTGTTAAACAAATGGGGGCAAGAGATGTGAATTGTTTTGCTCTCAAGAAAAGGGCTCAATTGAAAGGAGTGATTACTGGGGTAGCGGTAAATATGAAAGCTCTCCCGTGCGAGAGAGGCAGGTTGAGGTTTCCAGGGTTAGAGTAGTGCAGAAGTTGTCATATGCTGAGACAGTGAAGAAAGTAAATGAAGATGGGTCAAAGGGGAGGGATCCTGAGAGGAGTGGTGTGAGTAGTAGATTTGTACCAGTACAGAGGGATAAACCAACAAGTGATATATGTTTCAGTAAGATTGGATTTGTGGCATTTATAGCAATGGTTATCAACTGTACTGCAGGGATGGAACGAAAGTCGCAGAAAATAGAGGTTGTGGTGGCAGCAGCATAGAGGTATTTGACGTCAGAAGAGTTACAGGGGTGTTAAGTGGTGGTGTCCCATCCTTTCAAGCTGTTTGCCAGAAGTAGGACTAAATAGATTTAAATAGTGGAGTATGTAATTTTTTTGTTTGTATTGTTAGATGGTAGGGTATTTGTTTTAATAATGTATATACACTGCTCAAAAAAATAAAGGGAACACTTAAACAACACAATGTAACTCCAAGTCAATCACACTTCTGTGAAATCAAACTGTCCACTTAGGAAGCAACACTGATTGACAATAAATTTCACATGCTGTTGTGCAAATGGAATAGACAACAGGTGGAAATTATAGGCAATTAGCAAGTCACCCCCAATAAAGGACTGGTTTTGCAGGTGGTGACCACAGACCACTTCTCAGTTCCTATGCTTCCTGGCTGATGTTTTGGTCACTTTTGAATGCTGGCAGTGCTTTCACTCTAGTGGTAGCATGAGACGGAGTCTACAACCCACACAAGTGGCTCAGGTAGTGCAGCTCATCCAGGATGGCACATCAATGCCAGCTGTGGCAAGAAGGTTTGCTGTGTCTGTCAGCGTAGTGTCCAGAGCATGGAGGCGCTACCAGGAGACAGGCCAGTACATCAGGAGACGTGGAGGAGGCCGTAGGAGGGCAACAACCCAGCAGCAGGACTGCTACCTCCGCCTTTGTGCAAGGAGGAGCAGGAGGAGCACTGCCAGAGCCCTGCAAAATGACCTCCAGCAGGCCACAAATGGGCATGTGTCTGCTCAAACGGTCAGAAACAGACTCCATGAGGGTGGTATGAGGGCCCGACGTCCACAGGTGGGGGTTGTGCTTACAGCCCAACACCGTGCAGGACGTTTGGCATTTGCCAGAGAACACCAAGATTGGCAAATTCACCACTGGCGCCCTGTGCTCTTCACAGATGAAAGCAGGTTCACACTGAGCACGTGACAGACGTGACAGAGTCTGGAGACGCCGTGGAGAACGTTCTGCTGCCTGCAGCATCCTCCAGCATGACCGGTTTGGCGGTGGGTCAGTCATGGTGTGGGGTGGCATTTCTTTGGGGGGCCGCACAGCCCTCCATGTGCTCGCCAGAGGTAGCCTGACTGCCATTAGGTACCGAGATGAGATCCTCAGACCCCTTGTGAGACCATATGCTGGTGCGGTTGGCCCTGGGTTCCTCCTAATGCAAGACAATGCTAGACCTCATGTGGCTGGAGTGTGTCAGCAGTTCCTGCAAGAGGAAGGCATTGATGCTATGGACTGGCCCGCCCGTTCCCCAGACCTGAATCCAATTGAGCACATCTGGGACATCATGTCTCGCTCCATCCACCAACGCCACGTTGCACCACAGACTTTGTCAAAGACTCCAGCCACCCTAGTCATAGACTGTTCTCTCTGCTACCGCACGGCAAGCGGTACCGGAGTGCCAAGTCTAGGTCCAAAAGACTTCTCAACAGCTTCTACCACCAAGCCATAAGACTCCTGAACAGCTAATCATGGCTACCCGGACTATTTGCACTGCCCCCCCACCCCATCCTTTTTACGCTGCTGCTACTCTGTTAAGTATTTATGCATATTCACTTTAACTCTACCCACATGTACATATTACCTCAACTACCTCAACTAGCCGGTGCCCCCGCACATTGACTCTGCAACGGTACCCCCCTGTATATATAGCCTCCCTACTGTCACTTTATTTTACTTCTGCTCTTTTTTTTTCTCAACACTTTTTTTGTTGTTTTATTTTTACTTTTTTTGTTTAAAATAAATGCACTGTTGGTTAAGGGCTGTAAGTAAGCATTTCACTGTAATGTCTGCACCTGTTGTATTCGGCGCATGTGACCAATACATTTTGATTTGATTTGATTTGACTGTCCAGGAGTTGGCGGATGCTTTAGTCCAGGTCTGGGAGGAGATCCCTCAGGAGACCATCCGCCACCTCATCAGGAGCATGCCCAGGCGTTGTAGGGAGGTCATACAGGCACGTGGAGGCCACACACACTACTGAGCCTCATTTTGACTTGTTTTAAGGACATTACATCAAAGTTGGATCAGTCTGTAGTGTGGTTTTCCACTTTAATTTTGAGGGTGACTCCAAATCCAGACCTCCATGGGTTGATACATTTGATTTCCATTGATAATTTTTGTGTGATTTTGTTGTCAGCACATTCAACTATGTAAAGAAAAAAGTATTTAATAAGATTATTTCATTCATTCAGATCTAGGATGTGTTATTTTAGTGTTCCCTTTATTTTTTTGAGCAGTGTATTTTATTTTTTTCAAGCAAAGTACAAGGGAGTTATACTCCAGTCTAGTAGGTGGCGGTAATGGATGCCAACCGCCGTTAAACCTCATCGAAGAAGGAAACGACGTGTCCTGAGCCAACTTCCGTAAGGGGAGTTCACGTGTGCACAACAACTGAGCGCCGGGAATACTTTGGAAACGAGAGGTGCGTGATTTGTGAAGAGTAGCTATCTCAGTGTATAATGTGAATTAGTTAGTATTTGAGAACATGATATTTGCATGGGGGTCAGATATGCCAGTTGTGTCACTGCTAAGATTAGCCAACTTTACTAGCAACTTGATAAAAGCTAGAGTTAATTAGCTAGCTAAATGTGCTTTTAATGCGTTGTTGGAACATCATTAGCTAGCTGCAGAGTTCTATCTTAGTTGTCAATATTACATTTTAAATTTTTGTTATTTAGCAGACGCTCTTATCCAGAGCGATTTACAGTTAGTGAGTGGATCCATTTTCATACTGGCCCCCCGTGGGAAACGAACCCACAACCCTGGCGTTGCAAGTGCCATGCTCTACCAACTGAGCTACAGGGGACTATATGTATGCGCTAACCTCCGAAAATCCTAACCATAGCTAACTGCAAAACTGTAACGTTACCTTAGTCCTTTGATCAGTGTCTAGGCCGGGCCAACTTCAACTCAATCCGTGTATTCAGAAGTTGGTCATACTGGATCCAGGAGTCTTTCCTGCAGTTAGCCGAGCTGGCTCAACCTCAGAAGCATAGCTATGGGAGAATTGCGTTTGCATTGGTTCACAATGTTGTGACAAACAGTATGTGACCTGACCAGGGAAAACTCTGTGCCCCAATTACAGGCTATACTTTAAGGTGACTGCTGGCATTTGTCAGAGTATCAACCAGACTTTTCTCTCTCGCTGTCTGTAGAGAATTGTTATATTGATACAGGCGTTGACGTCACGCCCTCCCACTACCTCTGCTGCTAAAGGGTTCTCTGAGAAGCTGCTCTGGACCCGTTTCCATTCAACATGACATCAGAGAACACCCTGTAAGTAACATCAGAATAACCTCAGTCTCATCGTGGTGTAGTTGTCACTGTGTGTTCATCTGGAGACTCTGGGGTTCTGATTGTTCTTCTGTTGCCAGGGACGATGAGGACACCTTCAAGATCTTAATCGCCACGGATATTCACCTTGGTTACCTGGAGAAAGATGCTGTGCGTGGCAACGACACATTCAACACCTTGGACGAGATCCTGAAGTGTGCCAAACAGAACCAAGTGTGTGTGTGTCTGTGTGTTTTGTGTGTACACAGTGGAATGTAGTTTCTCTCTCCCCAACACTCACCTCCGTCTGTGTCTGTAGGTTGACTTCATCCTGTTGGGAGGTGATCTGTTCCATGAGAACAAGCCTTCCAGACGCTGTCTTCACTCCTGCATCTCTCTGCTGAGGAAGTACTGCATGGGAGACACTCCTATCCTCTTCGATGTCCTCAGTGACCAGGCTGTCAACTTCAGCAACAGCAAGTCAGTCTGTGTGTTAGCCCTGACGTGCCGATGCTAGCCCTTGCTTAGCATCCTCAAACTTTTTTAACCAATGAAAAACCAATACATCACCTGTCACAAATGTTGAATAATATTATATTTGAACTTACTATGCAGCAGGGAATTTGAGATACAAATATCCATGTATTAAAGACTTTCCAAACGTGGGTCGTATGTAGAGTATAGTAGTGGATGTGCATCAAATCTTTCTCTGTGTGTTCTCAGGTTCCCGTGGGTGAACTATCAGGATGAGAACCTGAACATCTCCATCCCTGTGTTTAGCGTGCACGGTAACCATGACGATCCTACAGGGGTAAGCTCCGTTGCTAGGTTTCGCTCCTCCAGCTTGAACCACAGACACGTGTGTGTGTGTGTCTCTGTGTAACTCTGTCTCTCTCCTCACCACTCCAGGCGGATGGTCTGTGTGCGTTGGATCTCCTGAGCTCTGCCGGACTTGTCAATCATTTTGGCCGCAGCCAATCAGTAGAGAGGATAGAGATTAGCCCCGTCCTCCTGCAGAAAGGCAGCACTAAGCTAGCCCTATATGGCATCGGCTCTATCCCTGATGAGCGCCTCTACAGGATGTTTGTTAACAACCAGGTGACCATGCTCCGCCCCAAAGAAGACCAGGACCGCTGGTTCAACCTCTTCACCATCCACCAGAACAGGTGTGTGTGTGTATATACTAAGTGTGTGTGGTACTGTTTGTGTGTGTTTTACAAAAGCCACAAACTACATCTCTGAGGTGTGTGTGTGTTGCAGGAGTAAGCACGGGGCCACCAACTACATTCCAGAGCAGTTTCTGGATGACTTCCTGGACCTGGTAGTGTGGGGTCATGAACACGAGTGTCTGATAAACCCCAGCAGGAACGAACAGCAGCTGTTCTACGTCACCCAGCCTGGTAGCTCTGTTGCCACGTCACTGTCCCCCGGAGAGGCCGTCAAGAAGTACACGCACACAAACACACACACACACACTTACATATGCTCAAGCAGCACTCACTGTGTGTTTATTTCTGTGTATGTTTGTATGCCTGCGTGTGTGTTCCTGTGGCCATGTGTGTCATTGCCTGCGTGTGTGCGCCTGTGTGTGTGTGTCTGTGTGTGTGCGCCTGTGTGTGTGTGCGCGTGTCTGTGCAGGCACATAGGTCTGCTGAGGGTGAAGGGGCGTAAGATGAACCTTCAGAAGATCCCGCTGCACACGGTGCGTCAGTTCTTCATCCAGGACCTGGTCCTCTCAGAGCACCCTGACCTCTTCACCCCTGACATGCCCAAGGTCAACCAGAGGGTGGAGGCTTTCTGCCAGGAGAAGGTGAGCACAAGTCTCTCTCTCCCTCTGTCTCAATTTCAATGAAGGGGCTTTATTGGCATGGGAAACATATGTTTACATGCCAAAGCAAGTGAAATAGATAATAAACAATAACAAATGAACAGTAACATTACACTCACAAAAGTTCCAAAAGAAATAAAGACATTTCAGATGTCATATTATGTCTATATACAGTGTTGAAGATGTGCAAAGTAGTTTCATGTCTATACAGTGACTCTATCGTAATGTATAGATGTCACTCTACTAGCTTAGTCCCCTCTCTTTCTCTCCCTCTCTCCCACCTCTGTCTCTACTCTCTCTACTCTCTTCTCTCTCTCTCTCCATCATCTGATTCTACAGTCCGTCTCTCTCTCTCTCTCGTCTTCTACTCTCTCCTCTTCTCTCTTATCTTCTCTATCTATCATGTCTCTCTCCCTCATCTGTCACTCTCTACTCTTCTCTCTCCCCCTGACTCGTCTCTCTCCATTCTATCGTAACTCTCAATGCTCTCTCTCTCCCCTCTCTCTAATCATGTCCTCTCTCCTCTCTCTCTCTATCTCTCTCTCTTTCTCCCCTGACTCTGTCTCTCTCCCCCTGACTCGTCTCTCTCCCTCCTTTATCTGTCACTCTCTCTATCTGTCTCTCTACTCTCTCCCCCGAACTCTCTCTCCCTCTATCTGTAACTCTCTCTCTCACTCTCACTCCTCACCTCTCATCTCTGTCTCTCTCGTCCATCGTCACTCTTCACTCTCTCTCTCCTCTCTCTATCTCTACTCTCATCTGTACCATGCACTCATCTCTTCTCACCTTATCTTACTCTATCTCTCTCTCCCCTGACTACTTACCTCTATTCCTCTCTCTCTCTCAATACCTCTCGGCCTCTCTGTCCCCTCACATCTCTCTCTCCTCGTCACTCAATCTCTATCACCTCTGCCCGTCCGTCACTCTGTCACTCTCTCGTCACTCTCTCACTATCTCTCATCCTCTCTCCTCTATCTCTCTCTCTCTCTCTCTCTCTCTCTCTCTCTCTCTCTCTCTCTCTCTCTCTCTCTATATATATTATATCACTCCTCTATCTCTCTTCCCCCTGAGACTTGTCTCTCTCCCCCTGCTCTTGTCTATCTCCACCTGCCTCTGTTCTCTCTCCCCTGTCTCTCTCTCTCTCCCCCTGACTTGGTCTATCCCTCTATCTGTCACTCTCTCTCTCCCCTGACATTTGTACTATCCCTCTATCTGTCACTCTCTCTCTATCTCACTCTCTCCATCTCACTCTCTCCATCTGTCACTCTCTCTCTCACTCTCTGTCTCCCTCTCTCCATCTGTCTCTATCTCTCTGTCTATCTCGCTCTCTCCCCCTGACTCTGTCTCTCTCACTCTCTCTCACTCTCTCTGTCTCTCTCTGTCTCTCTCTCCCTCTCTATCTGTCACACTCTATCTCTCTCTCCCTGACACTGTGTTCCCAGGTGGAAGCGATGATTGAGGAAGCGGAGAGAGAGAGACTGGGAAACCCCCTTACACCTGAGAAACCCCTCATACGCCTCAGAGTGAGTGAGACACAAGGAACATTTTATACTACATTTTATTCTGTGGAACAGTGCAACAGCATCAAGGGTGTTTCTCAAGGTGACACTCCATCCACCGTGACCTTTGACATTTTTAATTTAGAATTCCCATTTTCTTTCTCTTTCTATTTCTCTGTCACTATCTTATTTCCCGCTCTCTCCCTTTTTCTATTTATTTCGTGCTCTCCCCCTTTCTCTCGCTCTCTTTCTTATCTCTCTCTCTCTCTCTCTCTCTCTCTCTCTCTAGGTGGACTACAGTGGTGGTTTTGAGGCCTTCAATGCCACTCGTTTCAGTCAGAAGTTTGTAGAGCAGGTTGCCAACCCCAAAGACGTTGTTCACTTCATCAGACAGAAGGAGTACAGGGCCAAAGTTAAAGGTAACACACAAACACCGTGCACACACACCATGCACCATAATCATAACATTTGACAAGCCTACTTTTTCTGATGTTCAGATCACTCGCCTGTCTCTTTCTTGCTGTGTGTGTGTGTGTGTGTGTGTGTGTGTGTGTGTGTGTGTGTGTGTGTGTGTGTGTGTGTGTAGGTGAAGAGGATGTTGACTTTGGGCAGCTCCTGAGTCGCTCCTCAACTGAGGGTCTGAGGGTGGAGGATCTAGTCAAAGAGTACTTCCAGACAGCAGAAAAGGTACACACACATACACACACACACTTCTCCATACCCTGACTGTGTGTGTGGATGTGTGTCAACATGACTGTGTGTGTGGTAGGGCTGACCCCAATTAGTCAGTTGTTTGGTGGTTAGGCTGTTGGTCGACCGAGATTGTTTTAGTCGAGCAGTAAAAAAAAATATATATTTGCACCCATCTCAGTGAACTAATCCATTGCGTAAGCTTAGACTAAAAGCCAATTTATGCTTGATCCGAAAATGTGGTGGGAGGCTCCATATAGAGGGTGTGACACAATTGTGGAGCCTCCAGAGGCATGCAGAGTCCAAATCGAGCTCTGTACCGCATCGCCATTTTGTAACAATGCGGAGCGCTCTGTATAGTGCGGCGTTTACATCATTGGTTGATGGTAGGTGGGGGCGGTACATCCTGTATAAACACAAACTCACTTCCTTGACAACAGCTCTGCACTGCTCCGCAAATTCAAAATTTGAATGCTCTGACTTCTGCTGAGGCCGTATCACCATAAATGCTGCATGGCCAATGCAGACGTTGGATTGACCATGCACCCAGATGCACAATGCACTCTCTCCAATTTGTGCAGATTCATTGTTTCCTAACTTCATTGTGTGAATTGTTTGCGTTTGATTGTTAGTGTATATCAATTCCCCATAACATATATCACCAGTAGTACATTTACCGTTAATTCCTATAATTTGTAATCTACTATGTTTGTTACTTTGGTTACGGTCATTTATTTTAATGCATTCAATATTATTATTCCAGTCTTCCTGTTCTCATTGTCTGAGTGGAGACATTGTTTGCAGAGTGCACAACCTATGCTACACTTGTGAGAAACAAGTTTTGGTTTATTTTATCCAATTTACGAGTTTTGTCAATTTAGTCATTGTCTTTTTGTTTGGAGCGCTCCTGTCAATGTTGAGTAAGGACGCGCACCTGATTACGCAAGTCTGTCCAGCTCCCTTTTGATAACCACTGAGCGTGAAAGCGAAAAATGTCATGCTCTGATCCAGTGGAAACGTCATAAAATAGGCCTACCTGATTACTTCTTATCAGTGCTTGAAATAGGTTCCGGTACTCATTTTGGGTGCTGGTACTGTTTATATTTAGGTGCAGGAGCTCCACAATACTTTTGAGATAATATTCTGTAAGAGGAACAGGAGCTCAAGCAGTAGAACATTTGAGGTGCCGGTACTCCGCTCCGGTGAACTCTTGCCCAAGTCAAGTACTGCTTCTTATCCCTTGCGCAAATAGCCTACAGCTGTGTCTGTCCCGAGCTCACTGGCGTGGGAAACTGAGGGCTCCGAATATTTTATACAAAGTTGCAAGTTCGTTAGCTCCAGCTTCTGGGCTGGACCCAATTTAATAGTTGATACAATGTTTCAAGTTCGTTGCAGATAGGCCATGTGATTTATCTGATATTTATTTTTAATCAGGATATTTTCTTACCTGCAAGCTGCAATGTTTTTATTTGTTGGCTTTATGTAGGCTATTTTTAAATAAGTGGCAATGGCAATAGAAGTTACTTTTTAGGTTTGTAATTTTCATTTAGATTTGGATAGAATTTTGATTAATCACATGACAATGATTTTGAGATATGAAGACGTTATTATAAATTAAATTAAACTGTTTAACGAAAATGTGCATATGAAAACTATAACTGGGACGCAGATCGGTGGCAATGGTAAGATAAATTGGCATTCCACATGAGAAAGGTTGCCGACTCCTCGTGTAGCCTATTACCGGCAACTTCAGGAGAGTAATGGCAGAATCTGCGAAAGCCAGCAGGAACAGGAGGAGAATAGTTGTCAGGTTAAGTTTTGTCTTCTTCTGGTTATCTAGATCTCTGGTGCCCTCTTGAGGCATCAAACCGTAAGCTTAAAGCATCAGACAAGCTCAATGCACATATTTTATTTTATTAAAACACATAGGGTGTGTCTATATATGGAAAAATACACGTACAAATTTAGAGCAATCGATTAATCGAAAGAACAGACTACTTTCGGTTGACTTAAGATTTATTTTAGTCGGGGACAGCCCTAGTGTGTGCATGTGTGTTAACATGACTGTGTGTGTGTAGACGGTGCAGCTGTCCCTACTGACGGAGCAGGGTATGGGGAAGGCGGTGCAGGAGTATGTGGACAAGGAGGAGAAGGATGCCATCGAGGAACTGATCAGATACCAGCTGGAGAAAACCCAGAGACACCTGCAGCAGAGAGGGGTACTGACAGAGGAGGAGATTGACCAGGAGGTACGGAGGAGAGGGGGAGAGGAGGGGTAGACACCTGCAACAGAGAGGGGATTGATCAGGAGGTACAGAGGGGGAGGGGGTAGACACCTCCAGCAGAGAGGAGTACTGACAGAGGAAGAGATTGACCAGGAGGTACGGAGGAGAGGGGAGAGATGATGGTAACCACAGCAACCTGTTCTCTCCTCAGATACGCCGTTTCAGAGAATCTAAGAAAAACACTGCAGAGGAGGCTGAAGAGGTTCAGGAGGTGAGTCAGTCTCTCACACACACACACACACACACCACACAACGCACACCACACGTATACATTCATACCAGTACTCTCCTCCTCTGTATAGGCCCTCAACAGGGCTAAAGCTCATCGCATAGAGCGAGGCGACGCCCCAGAAGACCTGGACCTATCAGATGAGCCTGACGTTTCCATGGATTCGGATGAGGACTCTGCCCATCCTCCCCCCACCAGGGGCAGGGGGCGGGGTGGCAGGGGGAGGGGCCAAACCACAGCCAGGAGAGGAAGAGGTTTGTTTCTCTCCAAGATCTCATCACTTATCTAAAAGCTTCATTATATTTATGCATGTATACATTAACGACTGCATTTTGTTTGTTTGTGTGTGTATGTTGTGTGCGTGGGTGCATTTTGTGTGTGTGTATGTATTTGTGTTTCCAGGTGCAGCTGCTGCAGAGCTGAAGCCAGCAGGTCGGGCCCGTTCCCAGAAGGCCTCAGTGGTAAACCCCAAGCAGGGCAGAAACATCATGGATGGTGAGTGGCTGCTGTGTTTCTCAACCCTAAGTGTATGTGTGTTATTGTACTGACCTACTACGTATCTTCCATCCCTCCCTCTTTCTCCTCCCTCCATCCTGCAGCGTTCCAGGCTCCACCCCAGCGGCCATCGAGAGGGGCGGTGGCAGCTAAGTCTTACACAGACGAGGTTAGTCCCTCACACTCCCCATCTCTGTTTCTTACTGGTCTTTAAGTGCATGTCTGTGTTGTAGAGATGTTCTAATGTTGTTATCCCCTCCTCCATCTCTCCTTCTTCCATCTCTCCTCCCTCCTTCTTCCATCTCTCCTCTCCTCCTCCATCTCTCCTCCCTCATCTCTAGGTAACCATTGATGATGATGACTCTGATGACGATGTTTCCTTTGTGAAGCCTGCATCAAGACTGACGCCTGCATCACGACCAACACAGAGGTAGGAAAGTGTGTGTGTGATGGGTAGGAGTTGGACATTGATTAGTGATCTGTGTGTGTATATGTGTCTGTTTTGTAATTGGAGGGTATTAAAGGGGCAGTGCAGTCAAAAACTTGATATTCCTATGTTATATATATTTTTCCAAACTATGAGGTTGGAATAATACTGTGAATGTGAAAACGATCATAATAATGCCCTTTTAGTGTAAACTGTTTGAAATGTCAGCTTGTTTTGCATGGGTGGAGTTTATATACCAATAACAAAGAGAGTTTGCCCTCCTCTCTCCCAATAACAGCTTAGTTTTCAGGTTACACATTAGGCTCTTCCAATTAGACTCATCACTCAGACAGTCCTAGTCAAATTCTTTACATTTCATTTCCATTTCAGTCATTTAGCAGATGCTCTTATCCAGAGCGACTTACAGTTAGTGAGTGCATACATTTTCATACTGGCCCCCCGTGGGAATCGAACCCACAACCCTGGCGTTGCAAGCGCAATGCTCCACCAACTGAGCTACAGCAAATTCTTGCTTGAGAAATAGCTTTTTGATAAGAAGCTGTTTTTGTTTGTTTTAGATTAAAATGGTAAAAAAGAATCACAGTAAGGTACTTAATTGTTACCCAGTAATTATTTGATATTGAGTTAAAAACGGCTACATTGGACCTTTAACAGGTTAACGGTTCTGCGTTTTGTATTCTAGGACCTCCTCCTCTTCCTCCTCCAGTAGGCGGGGCTCCCAGAGTCAGAGCCAATCATACAAAGGGGTGACATTTGATGACGACGACGATGATGAGGTAAGAGACCTGTGAGATGACTGATACGCCTGTTGTAGTGTGTGTGTCTGTCTAACCTCTCTGTCTGTCTCTCTCTCTCTCTGTCTCTCTCTCTGTCTCTCTCTCTCTCAGGAGGAGTTTGACCCGTTTAAAGGCTCCAGTAGGAGTGGCCGGCGATAGCTTTAACTCCGCCCCTTTGGACAATTTTCATGTTTCTTATTGGCTAGTGAGCTGTGAATGTATGATTAACTTACCCATAGTTCTTCATACCACTTGTGGTCCTGACTCCTGAGGATGGACCCCTGGGCTGCCTGTTCAGAATAGAGGAAGCGTTAGCTAGCGCTAGTCGGCTGTACCTGCGCAAAAACTCTATTTTTCATCCTATAGCTTGTTCTCAATCTTCTTTTTAAATAGTGAGCCAACATGTTTTCAGCACTTGTATTTCCCTGACAGATCAAAACTCATTTTCTCATGCTCTCTGTTTTGTCTTTCTGCAGTGAGCAATCAAATCGCAATAAACATCAAATCGCAGAAGCAAATCGCAATATATATAGAATTGTGAGAATTGCGATACATATGGTATCGGCACATAAGTATGGTGATAATGTCATTTTGTGAGGTCCCAGCCCTATTAGGGACCCATTAATTCTAACTTCTCGCTCGAGTTTTCCATACCATTTGAAGACTTCCTTTTGCTTTGACTGTTGATTGGCCGTTCTGAGCTCCTAAAGCGTCATTAGTCAGTGTTGAGCACTGTTATTGTTCAGTGTTGGACCCATTCAGTCACCATGGCAACCGTCCCGCTTTCAGCAAATGTATTAAATACTTCCTGTTTCTATTCCAGGTGTGTGTTTACTGTTCCTGTTTGACCCATGTACACACACACACACACACACACTTCTCACCTGTTGACATTCACACCCGCTTTATGTTAGAACACACAAGACAAGCTAAACAGTAAATCTCAATTATATTCCCTTGATTCCACAGGTCCTCGTCTCCTCAAAGCATATTGGAGGGTCCTCCCTCAGATCTTCCCCTCCAATGCGTTTTGAGGAGGAGGCATGGAGAGAGGCTGCAAACACAATTGAGATTTATCACTTCAGGAGAGTTTCTTTATTTGACCAATCTCTGGAAGATGTTTTACAATTAAAACGATAGACTGATGCTTCAAGGATATGATCAAATGTGGTCCTGTACAAATACATTAAAAGTTGAGCCTTTTCTCTCTCATTTCTGACCTCATTTGACATGACGAAGGATTTTCACACTGCCAGTTTTCTTCCACATTATAGCATTATATATAAATATAGCACATTATATTATGACAGGGCTGTTTCACACTTGTATATTCTGTTGTCTTAACACCAACCTTAGCCCAGGGCTTAGATAGAGCAGGGTATTGGGGCTAGCACCACACATCGTTCTAAACATGGTGTCAAAATTGCCAGTGTGAAACGCCTATTTCTGATGTCATTTAAGTGAAACATGTATCGTGCAATCATGGCCAGATATATGGTGGAGACCTTGAGGCAATTTTGTCAGATCAGTGATAGTTCAAGGAAGGACAAATTGCTGTATATTTAGAGTTGGCCACTTGAACAGAGTAGTACCTGGCCAGTGACTGGAACTACAGTGTACAACAGGTCAAATAATGTCGTTGTTGTTGTTCCTTTCTGCATGTCGCCATCTTCTGGTTAGGTCTGGGATGGCATGTTTATTGGTAGTGAACACGTGGACGATCTGAATTGCATACGCCTCTTGTCTTCTCAAAACCCATTGGATGAGAAAGCCAGAGGTCCCTCCCCCTCTGCCCTTTTCCAATGGGTTTTAATTTAATCTTGTTTTGCATGGATGGAGTTGATATACCAATATAAACTCTACCCATGAGGAGGGGACGCAAGAAGTGTAGGTAGGCAGACAGGAATAGTTTGGCCGACAAGACGTCAACCAGTAAACCTGGTGGTCCATGATGGTGTATAGCTGGTATTGCAGTGTGGAAGTAATGCAGATCCTTTAGAGTTGCCTTATCATTTCAACGGTTGTCTGATGTGGGAACCCAAAGATCAGGCACTGCATCACTCTCATCTACACTACATGGCCAAACGTATGTGGACACCCCTTCAAATTAGTGGATTTGTCTATCTCAGCCACACCCGTTGCTGACGGGTGTATAAAATCGAGCACACAGCCATGCAATCTCCATAGACAAATATTTGTAGAAGAATGGCCTTACTGAAGAGCTCAGTGACTTTCAATGTGGCACCGCCATAGGATGCCACCTTTCCAACAAGTGAGTTCGTCAAATTTCTGCCCTGCTAGAGCTGCCCCGGTCAACTGTAAGTGCTATTATTGTGAAGTGGAAACATCTACAAGCAACAACGGCTCAGCCATGAAGTGGTAGGCCACACAAGCTCACAGAACAGGACTGCCGAGTGCTGAAGCGCGTTGCTCTTAAAAATCGCCTGTCCTCGGTTGCAACACTCACTACCGACTTCCAAACTGCCCCTGGAAACAACGTCAGCACGATAACTGTTCGTCGGGAGCTTCATGAACTAGGTTTCCATGGCCGAGCAGCCGCATGCAAGCCTAAGATCACCATGCGCAATGCCAAGTATCGGCTGGAGTGGTGTAAAGCTTGCTGCTATTGGACTCTGGAGCAGTGGAAATGCGTTCTCTGGAGTGAAGAATCATGCTTCACCATCTGGCAGTCCGACGGACGAATCTGGGTATGGCGGATGCCAGGAGAACGCTACCTGCCCGAATGCATAGTGCCAACTGTGAAGTTTGGTGGAGAAGGAATAATGGTCTGGGGCTGTTTTTCATGGTTCAGGCTAGGCCCCTTAGTTCCAGTGAAGGTAAATCTTAATGCTACAGCATACAATGACATTCTAGATGATTCTGTGCTTCCAACTTTGTGGCAACAGCTTGGGGAAGGCCCTTTCCTGTTTCAGCATGACAATGCCCCCGTGCACAAAGCGAGAAATGGTTTGTCAAGATTGGTTTGGAAGAACCTGACTGGCCTACACAGAGCCCTGACCTCAACCCCATCACACCTTAGGGATGAATTGGAACGCCGACTGCAAGCCAGGCCTAATTGCCTAACATCAGTGCCTGACCTCACTAATGCTCTTGTGGCTGAATGGAAGCAAGTCCCGGCAGCAATGTTCCAACATCTAGTGGAAAGCCTTCCCAGAAGAGTGGAGGCTGTTATAGCAGCAAAAGGGGGACCAACTCCATATTAATGCCCATGATTTTGGAATGAGATGTTTGACGAGTAGGTGTCCACATACTTTTGGCCATGTAGTGTATGTCCAGATCAGTGAGATATTTAGTCCAGACCTCTGTGTGCCAAAGAGAAGGAGGAGACTTCCACCAGCATGATGATTGGAATACAGTTGACCCCTGATAAGTGCACAACAGATGGGGGGAAAAGACATCTTCCTCATTCTTCAACTTTCCTTTATTTTTTTTATATTTTTTTTACCTTGATATCTGCAATCCTCCATGCTCCTGGTCAGTGCTGTGGACACAAAGTGGAATCAAAAGAAATTGCTCATGGAAAAAGTAGTGGCAGTAAAGCCCATTCTGAGGAACAAAGTTGCCAAACAACGTTTGTTATCCTGGTTGTGTCTATTCCAACCATGACTAGCAACAGTCCACATCATCATGAGCAATATTCCACTTCAGGAGAGATAAGTCATGTCCTCCTCAGAGACCAGCTGAGGACAATACGCCGCTGCAGTTAGAACCAGCGCCAATCCAGTCTGCCTGTCTGGGTCTGGAGACAGACAGATGGAAACCATGAACAGGTGCAGAAGCCCCCTATCCACCAAAACATTGATCTGTCTGTCTGTTTCTCTTTCTGACTGAGTTCGTGTGTACACTTTGGTCAGTCACTGACAGATGGATGTCAGGGTGGGGCATGAAACAGGGGAAACAGAATCCTTGGTGGTTTCCAGAAAGAGTGGGTGTATTTCAACCTCTATAACAAGAAAACTACAGCTTTGACTTATGAACCAAATGGCATTCTTCCCTTGTCCCCTTTCCATCCTCACTGGTGGGCTGAAACATGGATGTCCACTGCCTGGTAAATTAGATTTAACATATCTGGTTCCTTTGAGAAGGTGGTGAAAGAAAGCAGTCAGGGAGAAGATGCTGTCTGAAACTTTGACACGGTGTTGATGTGTGAAGCAGATGGAGAGGTTTTGAATAGAACTAGAGATATGTGTTGATAGGTGGAGGGACAGAGAGGTGAGTGGGTAGTGCTGTAGAAGAGAGCTCTGTCTGCTCAGGCTCTCACCAGCCTCCTCCTGCTCATCCACTGTAGGTCAGTGGTGTGTATTCATGGATGCCAAGGGAAGCCAGGCTTCCCCACAAAATCTCTCTGTGTTTCAGAATTTATTTTCAATTCGCAAGAGGCTGATTGTATCTCACTGGAGAAAGCATCTGAGCGAGCGAAACAGCGCCCCTCTGTCTCTCTATGTGTAGGCCATCTATCTGATGCTGTCTGGTCCAAACGAGTATGACAGTGTTGCCGCCCGTAGCATTGAAGGTAAGGGAAGCCAGCGACCTTATGGCCTCCCATGACAAAAAAAGTATACAAATTAGTCAATCAGCGTTGAGCTAAACTGAGCGAGCTCAACTGTGAATGTGCACCAAAAGAAGTGTCAAGAGAAGCCAGCTTGGATTTGGTGTCACTGTTATCAAATCCCATTGAGAGCATATGTCATCGACAGAAAAAGTTGAATTGTTGCATCTCGTTGTGTTGTCCTCCGGTGGCTAGCTAGCCAGCTAGCTACAATGGGCCCTTTCCTAAATTAGTCATGGATGGAGATAGGGATTTGGACTTAATTCTCCGTACCGGCAAATGATTATAAGGGCGATTCTGATCCAACCATTAATTCATACATTGTTGTGCCCCTGGCCTGAGAGGATGGAAGTTCAATATGTAGCTAGATGTAGAAGGCTAATGTTAACTAGCTAACGTTGCCCATGAATGGAAGTTAGGCTAGTGAGCAAGCATTTTAGCCAGGTAGCCTAGGACAACAAAAAATAAAAGCGTGTACTGTATGACAGAGTGATATACCGTTTCCTCAACATGAAAGAGAGGAGGATGGCATTGGCATTTCTCTACCAGTAGGGTGAGTCAACATGGTTTTCTACTTGCACACACCCAC